AGGAACTATAGTGAAACCTGTAAGCCCACCCCCTAAAAATGTTGGTGTGGTAACAAATCCCACTTGTGTCCACATAAGTAATACTGTTGATGGAATATGGCTAAAAGCCATGTTCTTCTATCCCTGGCTTACATACATACATACAAACACAGTTTGTTATACGAAGTATGAATTATTTATTAAAATATGGATTGATAAATGTAAAATAAATGCTGTATTTAGGTGACAACCAGCCACTCTAATAAAAGGGTCGCAAAGCACTATTTTTTTTTAAAAAATGGGAATATTTCAGTTTTTAAAATACTTTAACAATCAGAGGTATCCTTGAAATTACATAGTGTAAATATTATGTGGAAGCAAGTTGTTTTAATCTTTACATCAATGTCCTGACAAAATGAGATGGAACAAGAGCATCGCTAATGCTGCAATATACGTCCACATTCCACCTTTGATTGATATGGTACTTTTTAAAATGAAGAGAATGAAATATGAAATGGCTGTATTATGTTCAGAGGCAAAGAAGACTAGGCATCAAGTTTGTTTTGCCAAATTTACAGACAAAATACTAACAATAAAGTGGGTGTGACACTGCCCCAGGAGGTCGGGGCAAGCATCAAAATAAATAGTTGCTGTCTTTATGGTATAAGGAATAAATATGCAAAGTTCCCAGAATTGCAGCCTGTAGACGATAAATACAAAAACTGGGCGTGGCTCTGCCCATGGGGGTTGGATATGGAAACAATATATATAGGTACCATCCTGTTATTGAAATGACAACATCAATAGTTGCCGTCCTTAGGGTATAAGGAATAAGTATACCAAGTTCCAAGATAATCCATTCAGAACTGTGGCCTTTGAGCGTTAAAGGCAAAATCTATAGTTGATGCCCTTAGGCTATAAGGAATACATATGCCAAGTACCAAGTTGATCCATTCAGAATTCCGGCCTGTAAACGATAAACATAAAAATTGGGCGTGGCTCTGCGCCTGGGGGTCGTGACATGCAGTTGTCGTCCTTAGGCTATAAGGAATACATATCCCAAGTTCAAAGACAATCCATTAAGAATCGTGGCCTGTAGGCAACTCACAGAGACACAAAGAAAAAATGGGTGTGGCTCTGCCCCTGGGAAAAGGGAAAAGGAATAGGTATGCAAAGTTTCAAAAGGAAATATTAAGAATCGTGACCTGTAGGCGATACAAAAGGCACACAAATTCTGGGCGTGGCTCTGTCCCAGGGGGTCTGGCATGCACCAAAAATAATAGAGGTCAGCCTTACGGTATAAGGAATAAGTATAAGAAAGTTTTCAAGATGATCGATTAAGCATTGCAGGCTGTAAGTGACATACAGACACACAAAAACAAAATGGGCGTGGCTCTGTCGCTGGGGGCTGGGCATTCACCACAAACAATAGGGATGTTCCTTAGGATAAAAGGAGTAAGTATGCAAAGTTTCAAGGTGATACATTAAGAAATGTGGTCTGTAGATGACAAACAATGAATACAAAAAATGGGGGTGGCACTGCCACTGGGGGTAGGGCATGCACCAAAAACAATAGGGATCATCGTTAGGGTATAAGAAATTCATATGAAATTTTTTCAAGACAATCGATTAAGAATTGTGGCCTGTAGGCGACACACAGACACACAAAGAAAATGGGCGTGGCTCTGCCCCTGGGGCTTGGGCATGCACCCCAAACGATAGGGATGTTCCTTAGGGTACAAAGAATGTGTATGCAAAGTTTCGAGATTATTAGTTAAGAAATGTGGCCTGTAGACGACAAACAAACAAATACTAGAAATGGGCGTGGCTCTGCCCCGGGGGGTCGGGCATGCACCAAAAACAATAGGGATCTTCCTTGGGGTATAAGGAATAAGTATACCAAGTTTGAAGAAAATCCATGAAGAATTGCGCCCTGTAGGCGAACCACAGACACACACACACACACACACACATACATACACACACACACACACACACACACACAGACAGGGGCGACGGCATAATACGTTCACATTATGAATGTGGACGTATAAAAAGGGAGTTCTGACATAATTCAAAGCATAAAAGGGGTATGAAAAGGCTATTAATTAATATTTTATTGCCCTGTAAGTGCCACATTTTCAAAGATCACCACAAATAATAGATTTACATTCAAAATGTAAAACATTAAGCTGCAAAAAACACATCTACAACATATCCATTTTGGGGTGTGGACTCATTTGGAAGAAATGTCATAGGATTACATGTTTGACCATAAACAAAAAGTCTTAGAAATCCTTGAAATCTTATATGTAACTATTTGTTTGTGTCAAATAAAATGCTCGGTTACAATTCAAGCACAAAATCAGATTACTGCTAATTTGGAGTCAACAAATGTTCAATTGAATATCCAAATATCATCTTCAAGAAAAGGGGTGGGGTGGGGAGGGTGAGCCAGTCTAAATGAAATGAAGACAGATAAATTTCCCTGCAAACACATAGATTTTACTTTCTCGAGAAGGGAAATGCAACAATTTCAGGTTTTGAAAGATTAAAATTGTGTTAAGACTGAGGAAAACAGCAGCAAAATGCAGTTAATTCATGTTTTGAAAATTCTAACACACCTAAGCAGAACATAATTAGACTAAATTTCTTAATTTTTAAATTTTTGACAAACACATGAATACTTTTTCAATATCTGAAAAACACATGGATCCTTGCCAAGTTATTTAACAATGAAAATAAAGACATGCAAGACATTTTGGTTCATTTTACAACAGATGAATAATTAAAATTTTGACAGCAATATTGGGGGTAATCTGAAGAATTTCAGACAATTTATCATGATTTTTAGGCAAAATTGAGTGAAATTATGATACTTTCTTCCCGTCTAACAATTATAATGCAGAAAAAGTAAAAATCATACATTAAAATATTTTCCACTAATTTTGAAAAGTAAATAAACACTGAAAATCACAAAATTTTGACTAAAATCAAAATTTCCCCTCCCAAATTTGTCAAATATTTTTGAAATTTTACCATTTCACATATTTTACCATCAAAATGCCATATATCACATTTTCTGACAATTTGGAGATCATATCATCAAATTTAGGCCTTTCATCCACTGTCAGGTTGTTTTCATATAGGAGGCAGACCACCATTAATTTCCCCATTGACTTCAATGTTAATTCTGGCCTCTTTGCCCACCTCCAACTTTTCCCCAAATTTTCGTTGGGCTGAATGCTTTTCACTACAGACAGAGGAACAAATGGTCATGTCTTTGCACTAAAATTTGTATGAGGTTGACCACCAAAATTTTGAGATACACAAACTTGAAGAAGCATACTAAAAACATGTAACTAGTTGCCGTACATATCGCCGTAGCTAACCTGATAACCCTCTTATCCTTCCGCCTCAAAATCATGAATATTTACCAAAACCTGGCAGAAAATGTTAATTCAAACCCTCTTCGTCCATTCTAGACCAAAAAATCAACACAAATGGGCATGCAAAAGGGGAGAAAAGAGAGAGAGAGAGAATTGCTATAAATAGACGTACTACAATTCGTGGGTACTGAGATGATGAAATTTAATGGTGGTCTGCCTCCTATATGGTTTTATAAGTTCATATATCATCAAAATGGTGGTCTGCCTCCAGGTATGATACATGCCAATATCAAAAGGAACCAAGATCTTTGGAATATAAACTTATATTTTAAGTTTCGTCAAAAATGGATAAAAATTGTGACCCGTAGAATGTCCACAAACAAAATGAGAATGGACGGACAAGGGCAACGACAATATACATCCACATGAAAATGTGGGCATATAAAAAATATGCTGGCATATGGCCATTATGAGTGTTCATGAAAATTTATTAAAAATTTTTTACAGAAGATTTAAGATACAATATGGAAGGACTGGCAGTTCTCACTATACCAGTTAAAAACTAGATAATGTAAAGGGAATATGCTGGAAATTTCAGTCAAATTGCTTCACTCTAAACCAAAAAAATAAATATTTTAAAATCACTATCACGATAATTAACAAAGTCTCAATTATCCATTTTTACAGTTAATCATCAATGGGCATTGCAACAGCAGATCAGAGATACATCATTTCGGGACTAACATATGGTTCAATCGTATTATAATAATTCATTTACACATAGGTTGGACAGGCGACCCTACTCCTTGTCACATACAACCGGGGAATTAAAATAAACTAAACTATAACCGATCATTTTGGCATCACAGCCATCTTAGATTGGTTACGTTTTGTCAACTTTTTAAACCTTGAGCAAAAATAACATTGACCGTAACTTTGAAAACCAGTAGCACAAAAGCTATACAGCAGAAAAGTATTCTGGTAATTAGATTAGATCAAGTACATACCTTTTTATAGTTATTTGAGTTTTAAAAAAAAGTATTTTAGTGCCTCCAAATCACAATCTTCAAAACGCTATAACTTTTATAACTTTCAATATTTCTTCAAAATTCTTTCAGATTGTTGAATCTACATGGTTCACAATTGCAGCAGTGTTGTTGTCATTTAACAGACATTTTGTTTACTTAAATACTCTTTTAATCAAAAAAACGTAAAGAAAAAATAATTACTTTACTGGTAGGCTACCTCTATCACCAAACTTGTCCACAGAATGAGTTACATAATTCAGAAAAATCATTCACCTTTCTTTGATCAAATTAATATTACAAATGAAATTACATGTAGTACCGTGTATGTAATACCATGGACCTTATAAAACATTATAAGGTCCATGGTAATACATGTACCGGTATCTGTAGGCTGTTTACGTTGTAACAATGGTGTTAATTTGGAAATATCTTGTTTACTATTACTGGGCATTGCCATTAGCATTATTCTTCTGTTGCAACAGTGATGTAAATTTGGAATTATCTGGCATTTACATGGATGTTTGATGTTAAAATATATGGCATATGCAATTAAACCAAAAACTAACCCTAACCCTGATTACAATAATTACATTATTAGTATTACCTCATGTCATATGTTTGGCAAGTGACGTCAAACAAGATTGCCAAATATTTGCATTACCATAATTGGGCATTGAACTTTGAAGATAAACTCAATGAGTCAAAAAAATTGATCGGGACTTATTAATTAATGTAACGGGCTTGTTATTTGTAAGTTTCCAAAATTAAACTGTCAGTGAAACATGCTTACCGAAAAATAAACATGGAAGGGTTGAAAAAATTAGTGATTAGATCTGGAAATGGAACAGAGACGAAATTAATTCCAAAAGGCTTTTCTCATTTTTACGTTTATGAATATTATTTACAACATTTGGTGCTTTTTCTCGTCATTCAAATAATTGTTGTACTTTGTTCTATATAAATATTTACAGAATGTCAATGATACTTCAGTTCGTGTTTCGTTTAAATGCTATGATGATTCTGTAATTTGCAATGACCACAAATGGAAATCCCCCAAGGGAAATAACTCTCGTTAATTTTTTTATTTATTTTTGGGATAGAATTATTGAAGTAAAACATTTATTGCATCGTAATTATTGATAATTCAGAGGACAAGATAGCCAGAGACGAAACAACTTGATCCTTGGTTCGTTTTTCACTTATTTAGGTAACTAAAATTCAATAATTTGAAATCTAAAGTCTGGGAAAAGGTGGAAAGATTTAGATAGATTGTGAGTCACTCACATCTGATAAATTAAAAGATATGTTGCCACAGTTGGCAAAGAGTATGACGACTCTCTACATGAGCCTGTTACAAGTACCACATTACGATTACAGCAAAGAAACTGCACTGCCAGAGATCATCATAGATTTGACCACTGATTTTTCTTTTAATTCTTGCCTAATTATTTCTTTACGGTACGGTACTTTTACTTTCACTTCATGATAATATATTTTATTTACACTGGTGTGATTGTAACTGTAAAACTGTAAGATTAAAGCTGGAACACAGATGAGTTATAAAGTTTTCCATGGTTAATTAAACAAAATATTAAAGCAGCTAAATCTCTAACTCAGTATCATACAAAGTCTTCGAAATTGAAAACCCAAATTATTTGTCAATTTAAATCAACATTGATGTTGTTATCTTACTGGGAAAAATGGGCTTCTGATATCCAATATTTAAGACAAAATAAACATTTTAACATTGTACCATAATGCCTTTGATTGAGACTTCTGGCAGATTTCATCGAACATAACTGATTAGAAATTACAGTAAAAACAGAAACGATTGAATGTAAATCAGTTTTATGTACATTCACATTACATTATTATATGCGTTGCGACCCATTTGTGTCAACTTCTAGGTCCCAAATATTGGCGACTTAGCTCCTTTAAAGTGTAGAAGATAATATTAGAACAATAATTACTGTTACAGCTGCCATACTTGAGATTCCTATTTTAAAGAGAATATAGTAGCATTTGGGAGATAAAATGACTCAAAGCCTCACACTCAAAACCATGATCGAGTCACATCACTGATCACAGTAGCTGTGACCCTTTTATCAATAAGATTAAATAATGTCAAATAACTTGATGATAAAAAACAACAAAAAAAACCAATTTCTTTAACTTAAAAATGTGATAGTAAAATGATACATGTAGTTGTTCAATGTTGTTGACACTTGTTCATCAGACCATGCATGTACATACATTTTTTCCCTAAAAAACTGACCGATATAGCACATCAGATCAACCAAACTAAACACTTGATTTTTATACGCCCATATTGTCGTCACTCCCGTGCGTCAGTTGATGAGCTGAATAATCCCATTGATTTCCGATTATAATCTGTGGGCATATTTTTCATCACCTGGCAACTTACATTTAAACTAAATCACAGAGGTGTAACTAAACTTGTACCATGAGCATTACTGTGAGATATGCGTCCAGTATATATCCCAGGTACATGTAGCATCGTTCCGTCCAACTCCACTGGGTCCATTCATGGGGTATTCACAAATTCAAATTATCTCCCCCTGATGATTTCATTGTCCAATGTCCATGTAGGTTAATTCTACAAACCAATCAAAAGACAATTTACATGCCAGTCTTAGCGTCTTTGTTTCTCTATCTGTTACTCTATTCATATATAAATGCCTCTTCTCGGCTGTCTAAATCATTGCCTGAGAAGCCTGAAATGAAATCGGGTTTAACGTCCTACTCTTCTGCCTCGACTTGTAGACAGGCAGTGTGCTATGAGGGAAATTTTGCCCAAACAATTCCAACTGTCAAGGGTTCTTTTACGCGCATGCCAACATGTGTACTTGCCCATCAGAACGACTAGACACCTGTCCTTGTCAGACAATCCATCCTGCAACACTGACAAGAGGTAACCAAGCCGGAAAATAACAATAGTTATTTCTTATAGTTATTTTAATGTCTAATAATACCTTATTTATGATATTATGGACAGTTAGATTTGATTAAGATTATTTACATATGAAGGGGGCATAAACAAAGGTAAAAACATAATAAACTTTAAAACTAGGAGTTAAAATTTGCTGCTGTGAGAAGAGAAAGCGGGTCAACTTCCTTTGCCATAATAAATTCAAGTTAAAATCAGGTCCAGTTGATGTTTGGTATCATCAATGAAGATAGAGAAAAAATTTGTTAGTTATTTTTCAATTTAATATGAGATGTGTGTTGTAACACCTAGGTGGGGCAGCCGGTGATTATAAATACACCAGTCAGTAATTAAAGTTGTAATCTGATGATGTTCTAATAACATGTATAATAAGATATACAAGTAACTATATAAGGTCACACCAGTTTGATTTTCTGTTGTTCAGAACAGGGCCTATTTTAAGGTTTTATTGGCAAAACACGGTTTCCAGTGTTTTAGGGTTCCGTGAAAATTTCTAGAATTTGACTTCCGATAACACAATATCACGCTTACACTTTTCTAACCAAAATATAAAAAGACACCTTTCAAATTATATATATAATTCATGTGACTATTTATTAATCAATACCCTAAAGAACAAAAAACTCACGTAGAAATGTAGCTCTGATATAGAGATTGGATACAACAGCTCAATCAGGGTGTGAATAGAGCTGTGTCTGGTTAGTTATAGATGGGAATCGTTTCAGCCTTCTAATCAGTTGATCCTCAGAAGCATGAGGTTCTTCGGGTAATTGCTTGATAGTTTTAATAAGCACATACATGTATCTTTAATGCAATCTAATTACTGTCTGAACCCATGCTTCAGTCTTCATTTATTTAAATGATATTTCACACCAACCATCTTGTGTTTGTTACATGTATTTGTTTTAACATTGTTTTCCAGGGCAGAGAGGACAAATAAAAATTCAATAATTGTTTTCCATATTATTATTTTATTGTTTATGAATCCCCCATTACTAATTACTTCTACATTGTCTTGTAGGATATGTTTTTCTCTGTTCATTACAAATGGCTCCCAAAACCATAGAATACACAATCGTGTACTGATTATAAAATGTTCACCGAGTCTTTAAAGATATTTGACGGAAATTTTCAGCATATTCCCTTTACATCATCTAGTTTTTAACTATTATAGTGAGAACTGTCAGCTCTTTATCTAATCTCCCATAATGTATCTTTAAACAAAAAAAAAGATTGGTGTGGCCTAACTCTAGACTGTTTTAATCTGTGATGTAACTCTCGTTATCAAAGTTTTATCTAAGTATTTGATAACCAACAAACCATTGCTCAAGATATATCGATACATGTTGTTTAGGTAATATTAATAATCTCATGTAACTATTTAGAAGGTGATATTGCTAGATAGACATCTTTTTTTTATCATAGTATGGAATATTAAATCTCTTCTCATATCCCGAATATACATCTACAAGAAGAGTTAATGGTTAGACTTAAATAGATAGACTAGTTGGTTCTTTGTAAAGTTTAGAGGGTGATAGTGCTTGATAGGCATCTTTTTAATCATTGTATGGAATATTTAAATCTATAAGAAAAGTTATTGGTTTATATTTTCTGTTAGACTTACATAGATGTACCGGTACTAGTTGGTTCTTTGTGAAATTTAGAAGGTGATATTGCTAGATAAACTTTTTTTTTTATCATTGTATGGGATAGTTTATATCTTCTGTTAGACTTTGTCATGTTTAAAGTTTAGAGAGTGATACTGCTTGATAGACATTTTTTTAATCAATGTATGGTATATTAAATCTGTAAGAAAAACATTTATATCTTCTGTTAAACTTACATTTACATACATGAACTAGTTGAAGAGTTGAAGAGCCCTGGGAAGAACGATCTAAGTCACTTTTTCAAAGAACCCCAGTTAATGGCACCATCTGGTAGCAAATTGTATAAGCTTTCTGTGGAACAATCAATTTCAGGTAAAAACGATCGGAGTCTCATCGAACCAAGGCCCTTCTGAAATGGCCTCCCGGACAAATACTTCCATCGTACCCTTTATTTGACCTTAATTTGGCTGAAACCTGGAAGTCTGTTGATGTACTGGTAATTATGATTCGTATTAAACATCATTTTGAAGTCGTAATTAAACCCACTTGTCATTCTGTTCGTGTCAAGCATTCTCGTCCAAAAGTCTGTTTTGCTTTGATGCGAAAAGACAAAAATCGTTCTTCCCCTGGACTCTTCAGTTTAAATGGTGATATTGCTAGATAGCCATTTTTTTTATGACAGTAAGAATTGTCTTCAGTAAGACAGTTGCTTTCTTGTTAAAGTTTTTGTAAAGTAATTATTTTTATCTATGTAAGGTCAGTATTAGATTAGTACAAGATATTTATTTACATGTCCATTAGGTCGGCCTAAAACTAGTAATTAACCCCTTAACTGTGTAATTAATTTGACGTTAACTACCCCCTATTGCGTAATTAATTTGACGAAAATGTCATATTTGGGCCTATTTTTTCCTGAATACAAATTTGAGTGGTCTTAAACCAAAATAAAACTAACAGTAAATAGAGTTGACTCCCTTCAAATAGATTCATCGACCAGGCGTAATAATATGTCCTGCACAATGCCGAGATCGTGTTCGAAGAATAGGTTGGGGAAAATACCTCCAGGGCGTTATATTACGTCCTACACACGGTGAGTTGCAGTTGTCCAGGACGTTATATAACGTCCTACGCAGTTAAGGGGTTAAATGGTCTGGGCTTTCAAACAAATAAACTTGGCGGGCCACGGTAGGTACAGCACTGGTACAGAGAAATGGAGTTTAACATCCACTAGACACAAACTAGGTCATTTCGGGACTTACATATGGTTCAATTTTATTTCAATAATTCGCTTGCACTTAGGGGTCTTTAGCAGTGGGAGGAAACAGGAGGACCCGGAGAAAACCCACGGCGACCCTACTAATTATCACGTACAAGCAGAGAATCGAAATCACACCACTTGACTCATAGACAGATCTTATGATCTAACTCGTACATGTTAAACAACTAGACCATCCTCACACCCCTCACGAGTTCATCAGTAACCAGAAGTTCCTAGGTTTGATCTTAGTGCTAGCAAAGTAAAAGCATCTAGTTGTTTGGATGATATGAAAAACTGAGGTCCTGTTTAGACTAAAAAACACAACACAATTTATATGGAAAACAATCACTGGTTTATACACATATAGCACGACGTTTCAACACGTATTCTCTTATCGTTATCAAGTACAAATGTTTAGACTATTGGCAGCACTTTAAAGATCCACTCACACTTAGTTGGAAAATGACATAAGAGAAGTGCCAATGTCAGAACAAAATATACCTCATAGCGCACTGCATGGCATCTGCCTATCTTCATTAGCCTGGTTGGTGCAGCATAGTCAGGTGTTAAACTCACATTTCATTTCATTTAATACTTTATAGATTACTGTCTAGTCTGATTACAGTCTTACAATCTGCAGATAAATCCAAGATGGTGGCTGTTGATCTAATATCTTGAATATCTCTGAAACTATTGAGTTAAGACATTGTAAATGTATTATGGACAGGAGATCGATAAAATGACATGTTATGACGTTAATGTGTCGTCTCGACCAAGGCATATCAGATTTTAGAGTTCAGCCATTATACTATGGCTAGAATCGAACCTCATATTATTTATATTTTATTTTAGAGTCTAGCCATCATACTCTGTTTTATATTTTTGAGTCTAACCATCATACTATGTTATATATACATGTATTAGTTTAACAATCATATTCATACTATGTTTTATATATTAAAGTCTAACCATCATACTATGTTTTATATTTTAGAGTCTAACCATCATACTATGTTTTATATTTTAGAGTCTAACCATTATACTATGTTTTATATTTTAGAGTCTAACCACCATAGGGCCTACTCTGTTTTATATTTTAGAATTTAACCATCATACTATGTTTTAGAGTTTAACAATCATACCATGTTTTATATATTAAAGTCTAACCATGATGGTTTGTTTTGTATTTTTATTATGTTTTACATTTTAGAGACTAACCATCATAGTATTTTTATTTTAGAGTCTAACCATCAGAGTATGTTTTATATTTTAGAGTCTAACCATTTCATACATGTATTTTAGAGTCTCACCATTATATATTTTAGAGTGTAACCATCATACTATGATTTATGTTTTAGAGTACAGTATATTATATTTTATATTTTAGAGTATATATGATGAATTGCAATGAGTGGTAATAAGATAGATATTAAAGTGGTATTATTGGGCAAATCGTACGCTGGTAAAACTTGTCTGGTAGAACGATATCTACATGAGAGATTTAATGGAGAAACTGTCCCATATCAAAACGTAAGTAAATCTGTATAACTACTGATATTCTTTATATCAGAAGATTGGGAGAAACCCCACATGGTTAGTCTTTAGACCCCATTTCATGCATTCATTCCATACACCTCTGGGGGACAAAAGCTGAATGCTTAGCATGTGTGTGCTGCAAAATAAGGTCTGTCATTGAGTCAACTGTCATGGTTTCGATTCCCCAGTTGTACGTGACAAGGAGTAGGGTCGCTTGTCTAACCTCGTGGTTTTTCTCCAGATCCCCTGGTTTCCTCCCACTGCTAAAGACCCCTATGCGCAAGCGAATTAAAATAAAATTGAACTATGTGTTAGTCCCGAAATGACCTAGTTGTGTCGAGTGGATGTTAAACCCCATTTCTCCCTTTCTCTCATACACCTCTACCGAATGAACCAAAGGGAATAAGGGAATTCCCCATAGCAAAGTCAATAGAAAGTATATTTAAAGGAGACAAGCCTCTAAATCAATAACATCCACAGTCTTCGACTTTGCAAACACGTCTTATTGGTCAATTTAAATCAACATTGATGTTGTTATCTTACCATGAAAAGATGGGCTTACGGATATTCAATAGTTAAGACAAAATGAACATTTTAAAATTGGAACACAAACTGCATGCCAGTATGCCTGAATGCTTTCGAGTGCCATTTGTATTGAAGCGACTCGATGAATGAGGTTAAACATACCCCAGTGTAGACTAGAATAACCAAACGCCAAAGACAGCCATTCAATTTGAGACTCTTCGCGTATTTCGCCGAACATAACTGATTAGAAATTACAGTAAAAACAGAAACGATTGAATGTAATTCAGTTTATATACATTCATATTACAGTATTATATGCATTGCAACCCATTTGTGTCAATTTCTAGTTGCCAAACAACAGCGATTTTCCTCCTTTAAACTCGTGACACCAGTATAGAACAATCTAGGTGTCTCCTGATATACATGTACAAACAAAACAATCACAAAAACATCCCTGCTACATATCTTATTAAATATAGCAGGAAAACTAGACAGATATCACATTTCTTTATTTATACTTCTCCTTCCTTATAAACTTTACAAAACAAATAATACTGTTTAGAATTTTTACTTCTTTATGGGCAAATCAAATTAATATTTTTATTATTAAGAATTTTTAGATAGCTCCATTTCCACAATGGATCGTGTTCGATCTCTACATTGGCCGAGAAAGTTCATCAGGATTTTCCGATGTGGTTTCCCCTTGTCAGTGGTGCAAGACAGCTGTTAAGTTGTTCGGATGGGATGAAAAACGAGGTCCTGTGTACACATTGACGTGCATGTAAAAGATCCCTTGACAGTTGGAATTCAATAAAAGAGTAGGCTGTAGTGCTGCTGTCCCGGCAAAATTTCCCTCATAGCACACTGTATGTTGTTTGCCTGTCTTCATTAACCCAGTCAGAGTAGAACAGTAGGATGTTAAACCCCATTTCATTTCATTTTTTCCAAATTATGATTTTGATAATTAATTATTTTAATTAATTATTTTAGACAATAGGTGCTGCATTTGGAGCCAAGAAAGTTGATGTTAATGGAAAGAAAATAGTGATGGGAATATGGGTAGGTATCAGTTCTATTTGTCTGTACTACTCATACTATAGTAGCTGTTTGAATCTGGGAGGAGTAGGGTCGCCTGTCCAACCTCATGGGTTTTCTCCGGGTCCTCCGGTTTCCTTCCACTGCTAAAGACCCCTATGCTCAAGCGAATTATTGAAATTAAATTAAAACCATATGTTAGTCCCGAAATGACCTAATTTGTGTCGAGTGGACGTTAAACCCCATTTCTCTCTCTCTCTGTTTGAATCTGGGAGCCACGGTGGCTCAGTGAGTAAGATATTGGCTCGCTAACCTTCTTCCTTCATCATAATAAAATCAAGTTAAAACAGGACAATCTGGTTAAAACACAGATCCTATTTCGTTTCTTTTTTATAGTTCAAAATTTCATTTTACTTGTCTTTACTACACTATGATCTGGAAGAGTTGTTAGTTAACCTGTGTTCTGGATGATGTTAGGGATTAGCCAATGAAACGGTCTGTTACGGCAAGTTTTTGTCGTCAGGAGCACGGAACTGTGGGTAAATCACTACAAAACATCAACGCTGATTGATTAATCAATGTCTGAGGTCATAAGGTCAAAAGCCGCTGGTATGACACCTCACATGACCTTCCACTATCACTGGTCAGATCTTCATGTAGTGTAGGCCGTCGAAAGTATAAAAAACAAAACGAAATATAGATCTGTATTTTAATCAGATTGGACATCAATTAGCAGTCGGGTCACACGAATTGCATTGAATTAACTTGCTATAATCTCGCCATTCTAGGCTAACACAGGGATTTATTCTGTGACTTCATGATTAGTTCTCTAAGTTCATGACAAGTTTATTTGTTGATTTTATTTTACAGGACACAGCAGGTAGTGAACGCTATGAATCAATGAGTAGGATATATTATAGAAATGCCAAAGCAGCCATTTTATGTTTTGATTTAACAGATAAATCCAGTTTCGATCGAATCCGATTTTGGATTGGAGAATTACAAACTCATGAAGAGGTAGATTTATTATATTATTCGAAATCAAACTATCAAGCTCCATCCTCCTGGAGTTATGGGAAAATATCGATCTAACGAGAACATAGGTTCATTTGTTTATAATGAGAACTCCAGGGATTGTGGGTCCATTCTCTGTCTAACTCAGTGGGGTGGGGGGTCGTTTTGAGAACACCAGTGTTTGTTTATCTGTGTAACAGGAACACTAGGGTTGAGGAGGGTGGGGATGGCATCCCCCTTTGTCTAACAAGAACACCATTTTACAAGAATGCTAGGGTATGGCCTGTGTGTAATGCATGACATATATTTGATATATTTACAGGGGTGTAAGATATATATTTGATATATTTACAGGGGTGTAAGATATATTTGATATATTTACAGGGGTGTAAGATATATATTTGATATATTTTCAGTGATGTAAGATATATATTTGATATATTTACAGGGGTGTAAGATATATATTTGATATATTTACAGGGGTGTAAAATATATATTTGATATATTTACAGGGATGTAAGATATATATTTGATATATTTACAGGGGTGTAAGATATATATTTGATATATTTTCAGTGATTTAAGATATATATTTGATATATTTTCAGTGATGTAAGATATATTTTTGATATATTTTCAGTGATGTAAGATATATATTTGATATATTTTCAGTGATGTAAGATATATATTTGATATATTTACAGGGGTGTAAGATATATATTTGATATATTTACAGGGGTGTAAGATATATCTTTGTGCTACAAAGAAAGATATAGTCGATGCTGACCCAAACACAAGAGATGTGAATGAAAATGAGGCTCAAGCTTTAGCAAAAGGTACGTATCGTTTTAGGGAGATGTTAATTGTAGGCCGTTTGGGGAGGTTTGGGTGTTTCCGGAGTCCATAAGGGCCGCTTTATATAAATGACAATTTTGGGGAATACTAACCCCAACCCTTTTTAGTAGACTGAACTTGTATATTAATTATTTATATTAATTATCAGTGATTTGATTCCAGATGTAATGGCTGAATTATATGAAACGTCCAGTAAAACTGGAGAAAATATAAGTAAGTTGAATTAATTTTACACTTAAATATGTGCATACTAACTCTCCTTATACATACATACATACTAACTCTCCTTATACATACATACATACTAACTCTCATTATACATACATACATACTAACTCTCCTTATACATACATACTAACTCTCATTATACATACATACATACATACTAACTCTCATTATACATACATACATACATACATACATAATATTATTTTAGTTCCTGTGTTTTATTTCAGATGAATTATTGTCTGTTCTCTTCTAAAATCATTTTATGTCCCCATTTCTTTTAATAAAATGTCATGCTTCCCCCTTGTCAGTGGTACAGGCCTGACAAGGACCAGTCTAGTCATCCAGATGGAACAAAAACCGAGGAACAAAATACACATTCTTGTGCATGGAAAAAATAAAAATTTTGACAGTTGGAATTTGAAATAAGGGTAGACAGAAACGCTGCTGTCGAGACAAAAGCACACTGTTTTCATTTGTTCGATGGGGGAGGGGGGGTACGAGCACATCATTGGGTCAAGTGGCGCGGTTTCGATTCCCCACTTATTCGTGACAAGGAGTAGGGTCGCCTGTCCAACTTAGTGGGTTTTCTCCAGGTCCTCTCACAGCTAAAGACCCCTACCTGCAACCAAATTATTGAAATAAAATTGAACCATATGTTAGTCCCGAAATGACCTTGTTTTTGTCGAGTGGACGTTAAACCCCATTTCTCTCTCAGGTTATGTAGCACAAAAGTCATTATTTAAGAACGATTCATATTATATTTTATATAATGTTTAATTTCTTTCTGTATTTTAGATGAATTATTTATGGCAATAGCTGAATATTATTTGGCAACTGTGAAAACCACCGAAGGTAAACACGTGCACACTTTAAAATATGTTAAAATAATGGGTCAATGCTAATAAATTTCACATTCTTTGTAAAACAAGGGGAGGGTGACCGAATAGTGCAAGACCTAAGCTTTAGATCATAAGGTCTGTCATTGAGTCAAATGGCGTGGCTTCAAGACAAGGATTAGGGTTGTCTGTCCGACGCAAATTATTAAATTAAATCATGTGTTAGTCCCAAAATAACCTAGTTTGTGTCAAGTGGACGTTAGACTTCATTTCTATCTTTTCTTCAGAAGGTCTGTCATTGAGTCAAGTAGAGTGGTTTCGATTCCTTGCTTGTACATGTATGTGACAAGTAGTAGGTTCGCCTGTCCAACCTCATGGGTTTTCTCCGGGTCCTCCTGTTTCCGCCCACTGTTAAAGAACCCTACGCACAAGCAAATTATTAAAATAGAGTTGAACCATGTGCTAGTCCCTAGTCCTGAAATTACCTAGTTTGTATGGAGTGGACATTAAACCTCTCTCTCTCTCTCTCCCTCTATCTCTCTCTCTCTCTCTCTCCCCCCCCCCCCCCAACCCAAATTATGAACAACTGAAGTTATAATCCATGTGGAACTGACCTACTTTATAATTGTCAGTCAATTATAATTTCGAACAATTAAAACTTAAAATAATAGAAACAACTAAAATTATAGTTTTTATTAGTAAAAGCACTTAAAGCACTTAAAACTCTTAAAACAAGTATTAACTAAATAATTGGGGTACTGCTAAAAACTGACACATACTTTGGAAAGAATATCTTATTGATAAAAGAGGTAAAAAACATTATTACAAAATTTTGAAGTAAAAACCTTGGACTAGGTTTGTTTGTTTGATTTTTATCTGTATATTTTAAAGGGGTGGGTTGCCGAATCGTAGCTAGCCCAAAAATGTTGGTGTGAGGTGGGGGAAAGGGTTGGCAAGGGTTTCTGGGGACGTGGATGTACCTGCTGTCATTGAGTGGTTTTGATTCCCCGCTTGTACATGACAAGGAATAGGTTGCCGGTCCTATCTTGTGGGTTTTCTCTGTATCCTTGGGTTTCCCCCCCCCACTACTTCCCCCACTAGTTTGTGTCTAGTGGATGTTAAACCTCATTTCTCTCTTTCTCTTTCTTTGGCCAAATGTTTATCTATAACAAACAATGGTCACTCAACATTTGTATATTTTCAGTTAATTGTATTTGTATATTTTTAGTTAAAGAAGAAATGATCTATCTAAATGAAGTCAAGAAACGGTTACCATGTTCATGTAAAAGTACCTAAAGATGCGTGGAATGATTTTAGTTTTGTTATTTTAAATTTGATTTTTATAAAGAAAGGGTAAAAGATGAAATTGTTAGGCCAGAAATAATCTGATTCCTGGATTATTTCACATCAGTTAAAATTGGCCGTATGACCTGTTTTTATTTCAAAAAGTAAAAAATAAAAACAGTATCATTAATTAGATGTTTTACCTTGGTTACAGGAAGTAGCTCTTTAAAAAGAAAATGATTTGAATCTAGAAATGTTGCTTGTAGGCTCATTTATCAAGTAGGCAACCCAGATAAATTGATAATTGATACATTCCTATGAGATAAATGATACTGGATAATCATACATTCTATAAACAACATGAGATAAATGATACTGGATAATCATATATTCTATAAACAACATAAGATAAATGATACTGGATAATCATATATTCTATAAACAACATAAGATAAATGATACTGGATAATCATACATTCTATAAACAACATGAGATAAATGTAGAGTCTTAAAATGTGATGTTTGTGAGAAGTCATTTAGCCCAGTAGTGATCCTTCAGATTTTTTGTTCAGAGTTGGATGACCGAGTGGTTAGCAAATGCACGCTGTATCATAAGGTCTGTCATTGAGTCAACTGGAGTGGTTTTGATTCCCTGGTTGTACGTGACAAGGAGTAGGGTCGTCTGTCCAACCTCGTGGGTTTTCTCCGGGTCCTCCGGTTTCCTCCCACTGCTAAAGACCCCTACGCGCAAGTTAATTATTGAAATAAAATTGAACCATGTGTTAGTCCCAAAATGACCTAGTTTGTGTCAAATGGACATTAAACCCCATTTCTCTCTGTCAGATTCTTTGTAAGTATTGTCTGAGAACCAGAATAATTTTTGTGTATGGCCTTAACTTGATTGGTGTGTTGTGTTTTACGGATCAAAAGCAACTGATCAAATTCTGCTTCATTTTATTCTATAGAGCTTACTCCATCAATATCTGGATATTAAACCCCATCTGTAGTTTGTTTGTATATTTTTATTGTTTTTATATAATATTCATGTATAGGCCATCATACTTATTTATTCCTGTGAAGACAGGGTTGCAGGCATTACTGACGTTGGTGGTCATACTTTTTGAAAATGGAATTGGCAATTTAGGGGCAGTGGGTGGGGCGCAGTCAGTCAGACTGCCATACTGAATTAATTTGTAAAGATGATTATAATAAACCAGTGATTGTGGTCCTATATAACTGTGTTAGTTCTGGTACGTGTTCTGGTACAAGCAATAAGAAATAATTAACAAAGTAGTAATGGGTGTTTCTGAAGAATCAAACTTCAAATTTGTGTGGCCTTAGGATTACCATGATTGGACCTGAACATGTTTAACCAATAATAGAAAATAAACCACAAAATCATGTTAGAAAACGTTTTGAACAAAGAAAGTTTGGTATGTATTTACTGGCTCTAATGGGTCGTAGACTCTTAAACCCCATCATAAAACAAATTATTATATTTATGACATAATGTGATCAATGAAAGTTTGTATTAAACATACATAATGCAAGAGCTAAATCTGCCTATTGCAGGTCTTTCTTTAGGCCTGAAATGTTATCTAAATTATTAATTAGACATTAATTAACTTATCCAGACCATAATCAACTCTCGTTGACATCTTATGTGTCGGATTTTCACTGGATTTGAATCCGATCTGCTGCTCAACGCTCATTGATGATTAAATCCCCCCAAAAATTTTTTTTATCATAACGACTTTAGTAATGATGATCGAGGTTAGGCCTAACATTCAATCGATAATATATCAGTTCATAGTTGATCAATTTGACTGAAATTTTCAGCAAATTACCTTTACATTATTTAGTTTTTAATTATTATAGTGAGAACTGTCAGCTCTTTATCTAATCTTCCATAATGTATCGTTAATAATCCTAATGGGTCAGTAGTCCCCATCATGAACAAATAATTATCTTTATGATATCAATAACTGTATATATTTATTGTTTGTATGTATATATATATATACCATTTGATGCATGTATATATAATTATATTGATTGTATTAATTTGTCACAATCCTTGTTATAACCTATGTACAGGTCTTTTCTAAAATAGGAGTGGGGTGGGTTGTTGAGTTATCAATTTTCATTCTGGTGGGGGAGCTGGGGCGGAGATCAGGTCCATTTGAGGAAGAGATCGGGTTGGATTGATGAGGAGATCAGATCGACTGAGGAGGAGATCAGATCGGTCGAGTAGGAGATCAGATCGGTTGAGTAAGAGATCAGATCGGTTGAGTAGGAGATCAGATCAGTCAAGTAGGAGATCCGATCAGTTGAGTGGGAGATCAGATCAGTTGAGTAGGAGATCAAATCGGTTGAGGAAGAGATCAGATTAACAAGGAGTATGGTTAGAATTCGAATCCTGTGGGTTCTCTGATCTTGTACTGCTAAAGTCTCCTGCACAGCATTAAAATAAAATATACCATATGATCGAATTTATGTTTGTCTGACTTCCGGTATGATTTCCCCTTGTCAGTGGTGCAGAACAGAGGGCCTGACAAGGGCAGATGTCTAGTTGTTTGGATGAAACGAAAAACCAAGGTCCCATGTACACATGGAATTTGATATAAGAGTAGGCCATAGTGTTGCTGTCCGGGCCAAATTTCCCTCATTGCACACTGTTTGGTGTTATATTGCATATGTCCGTCTTTATTAGACCAGTTGGAGCAGAACAGTAGATCTTTAAACCCCATTTCATTTTTGTATGTCTGACAAATAAAAAACATCATTCCAGACATTGGTGTTTATGAATTCTCTTCTTCAAAAAACAACTGTCAAGGGTTTTTCTTCATGCCCATGAACATGTTCACAGAACATTACTTATTCCCATCCTAATGACTAGACGCTGCTCCTGGCTAGCCCCCACCCACCCACCCACCCATTCCTCTATCATTTAGTTTTAGAAAAGATACTAGTACAATATATTTGTAAATTTTATTTCATTTCCACAATTATTGTTATAATATATATATTGGATATAAATGTACCATAAATATAGATTTATTTTTTTGCTGAATTTTGTGAATTATATTTTAAGATATATTGCCATAGAACATAGGAAAAAAAACAGTATCGTGAGGAGTAGCTTTAATTATTAAATCTAAAAATGAATATTAAAATAAAAGTAAAATGCTAGTCAAAACAGCTTGATAACAATGTTAAGATTTATTTTTATATGTCCACATTTTCATGTGGAAGTATGTCATCGTCGCCTCTGCCCATCCACAGTTTGTTTGTGGACTCTCTACAAGTCACAATTTTTATCCGATTTTGACGAAACTTGAAATACATGTTCCTTTCGATATTGGCATGTAGCGGACCGGACGGAACCGTAAACTTCATGGATTATGGCCCCTGGTTGTACTAAAAAATATGTTTTTAGCTTGTGGACACTCTAAGAGGTCACAATTTTTATCAAATTTTTATGAAACTTAAAATATATATTCTTAACCTAAACATCTGGGTTCCTTTCAATACTTGTGCGTATTGGACCATAACTTCCTGGATTATGGCCCTTGATTGTCTGAAAAATTGCTTTTTTTTAGCTTGTGGGCACTCTAGAGGTCACATTTTTTATCAAATTTTTATGACACTTAAAATATATGTTCATAGCCTAAAGATCTGTGTTCCTTTCAATACTTGTGCGTATCTGACCATAACTTCTTGGATTATGGCCCCTTTTTGTCACTCCAGAGGTCACAATTTTTATTAAATTTTTATGAAACTTAAAATATATGTTCATATCCTAAAGATCTGTGTTCCTTTCGATACTTGTGTGTATCGGACCATAACTTCCTGGATTATGTCCCCTGATTGTACTAAAAATCGCTTTTTTTTGGCTTGTTCTCTGCCCATCTCTTGCAAAATGTGGGCATATCTTGCATGGCAACTGCTTGTTATTATCTATGTTCAGCTTATCAGCGCAAATTGTTTCAATGGGATTAATTGTAATTCAACTTGATAAGCACAAATTGTTTCAATGGTATTAATTGTAATTCAATTTATCAGTGCAAATTGTTTCAATGGAATTAATTGTAATTCAACTTGTCAGCTCAAATTGTTTCATTTGTAATAATTGTAATTCAATTTGTCCTCACAAATTGTTTCAATGGTATTAATTGTAATTCAACTTGTCAGCGCAAATTGTTTTAATGGTATTAATTGTAATTCAACTTATCAGCGCAAATTGTTTCAATGGGATTAATTGTAATCCAACTTGTCAGCGCACATTGTTTCAATAGGATTAATTGTCATTCAACTTGTCAGTGCAAATTGTTTCAATGGGATTTAGTAAATGAACTGGAAATACACAGAATACAATTCTATGGAATACAAATATATGTACTGCTTATTATTGAGTTAGCTAAGTGGGTAAGACGCTGGCTCGCTAGCCTGGAGGTCGGGTGTTTGATCCCTGCATTGGCTGAGAAAGTTCATCCAGATTTTCCGGCGTGGTTTCCCCTTGTCAGTGATGCAGGACGGAGGGCCTGACAAGGACAGCTGTTTAGTCGTTCTGATGGGACGAAAAACCGAGGTCAGTTGGAATTCGATATAAGAGTAGGCCGTAGTGTCGCTGCCCGAGCAAAATTTCCCTCATAGCACACTGTATGGTGTATGCCCGTCTTCATTAGCCCAGTTTAGGAGCAGAACAGTAGGACATTAAACCCCATTTCATTTCATTTATTATTGAGTGACATTACGACTAGGCTTTTCTAGTCTTTATCAAATACACAGGTGGTTCTCTTTTATCAAGGAAATGATGCAATATTGAATAGGATGGGACAATATATACATGTAAAAACAACAAATGTAGACTGTGGCTGTCAGAAGACTCGCAACCTATTTTTTTAAACCAGCCTTTAATAGAAACCTCTTGGGGCTTTTATATCTTAAAATCATTGTATCCGCAAAAAAATCAGGGTTTTTAAAGTGATAGAGTAAATTTAGTAAAAATGGCCCCAAGGTTTGGTATCAATGAAATTGTGGGGATTACACTTTAGATCATAAGGTCTGTCATTGAGTCCATTGGCGTAGGGAGTCAGTGTGGCTAAGTGGGTAAGATGCTGGCTCAGTAGCCTGGAGGTTGCGTGTTCTATCCTTGCATTAGCCTAGAAAGTTCATCGGAAATTTACAACATGGTTTCCCCTTGTCAATGTTGCAGGACGTAGGGCCTTACAAGGATAGCTGTTTTGTCATTCGGATGAGACAAAAAACCAAGGTCCCATGTATAAATTGGCTTGCACATGAAACACCCCTTGGCAGTTCGAATTTGACATAAGAGTAGGCCATAGTGCCGCTGCCAGGGCAAAATTTCACTCATAGCACACTGTATGGCGTATGCCTGTCTTCATTAGCCCAATCGGAGCAGAACAGTTAAACCACATTTCATTTACATTGTCATGGTTTCAATCCCACACCTGTACGTACACTGGACATGGAGAAGGGTCGCCTGCCTAACCAGGTGGGTTTTCTCCGAGTGTTCTGAAATTAAGCGAATTATTGGTTTAAACAGTATTTATTTAAAAAATATTGTTCAATATAAAGGCATAAAGAATAGGATACAAAAAGAAGCCAAATAGACCTATATTAATAGGGGGGTTGTGTGTCCGATTGGTTAGCACGTGCACTGTATCATAGGTCTGTCGTTGAGTCAACTGGCATGGTTTCAATTCCCCGGTTGTACGTGACAAGGAGTAGGGTCACCTGTCCAACCTCGTGGGTTTTCTCCAGGTCCTCCGGTTTTCTCCCACTGCTAAAGACCCATACACACAAGTGAATTACTGAAATAAAATTTAACCATATGTTAGTCCTGAAATGACCTGGTTTGTGCCGAGTGGACGTTAAACACCCATTTCTCTCTCTTTCTCTCTCTTTTTTAATTAACAAGTAATAATTAACCCGTTGTAATTTAGCCGAAAGCCGATTGATTTATGATACCATAGTGGCCGGTTTATTGTTTTAAATCGGCTAGATTTAACATCATTCAACTAAAGCCGACAAAAACAGCCGATTAAGAACAGTGTGTTAAACCCATTTCTCACTCTCTTGCTCCAACAATGAGTGTGTAAACAAATATTTTCCTGTAGATGTCTTTTATATATTCCTTTAAGATCGATATTGTTGTGTATTATCGGGGACCAATGCATTAATTTTTGTAAATTTCTTTTGATTCGGGGGAGGGGGGGGGGATCTAGTGGTTTAACGTGCGTTTGAAATCATAAAGTCTGTCACTGAGTTAAGTGGCATGCTTTCGATTGTGGGTTTTTCCGGTTTCCTCAAAAGATCCCTACGAGCAAGCAAATTATAGAAATAAAATTGAACCAGACAGTGACAAAACAGCATACTCTTACATTGAATTCCAAATACCAAGAGACCTTTTACGTGCACACCAATGTGTCCACGAGACCTCTTAGTTTTTGTCTTATCCGAACGACTATACGTTGCCCCTTGCCAGGCCCTTCTGTCCTGCATCACAGACAAGGCGGAATCACGTCAGAATCCCAATGATCTTTCTCGGCCAACGATGGGATCGAACACGGGGCCTCCATGTTGGCTATTCAACGTCTTACTCACTGAGTAACCTTGGCTCCATATAGTAGGAATAACAAGCTGATTAAAACAAAGACTTGTTCGTGGGACTCAAATTCTACTTCTGCTGAGAGGGTGATGTATAGAGATCTGCCAATGAAATGGTTTGTTCAGTCAAGATTCAAGGGAGATAAGCACTGACTTTAGCCTAGCTCACAACCTACCGTACGTGTTTTAATAGGCATGCTTGCAGATCAGTAGCAAGAAACCGGTTGAAAATTTTAAATGTGCGGGACCAATACTCTCTACGACCAGTCTGTGATCTTCTATGGTGCCGAACACATGCAAGGAACATGTAAGTCTTATGCACAGGTTTACTAAAAGTTTCCCCGTAAACTGCTTGTAGTAGCAAGTATGACAGGTTGTGAGCTAGGCTTTATACAGAGCAGTAGAGAACAAAAGTTAAATATAAATAGTTTGTTATTCAGATTTAAAATACAGATGTGGCGTAACATTATTTCAAATAATCATACGGGCAACTTGCCAAACGTACATTATTTATACTAGTGAAATATTGGACTTGCCTGACGTAGTTCAATGTAAAGGCAGGTGCAGAGTGTCTGTATTTTAAGTCATTTAATGGTCTCGAGCTGGCTCGCTAGCCTGGATGTCGTATGTTCGATCCCAGAATTGGCCAAGAAAGTTTATCAGGACTTTCTGACATGGTTTCCCCTTGTCAGTGGTGCAGAATGGAGGGCCTGACAAGAACAGCTTTTTTGTCATTCGAATGGGACGAAAAGCTGTGTAAGCCCGTCTTCTTTACCTCAGTATAGGAACAGAACAGTAGGGCGTTAAACCCCATTTCATTTCTATCGCGAGTATATAAACAATGGGATGTGTATTTTAATGATATTGATAGGAGAAAGGGTGTAAATTGTATATTTTTGAATATATTGGATAAATGTGTTAAATTCAAGCCTTGCTTCTTTTAAGAAAATCTAAAAATCTGGTTGTGATGAATCCACCGGAATTTTTTTTTTTTCTGATTATCTTTTGTATTTTCTCATGCAAAATTTTAACTTCAAATAACTATCAAAATAGTGTTTTTCAGAAAAAAATGTGTAACGCCGGACTGCAGATCATCCTGGCAATTCAATGATATAACTGACAGGGCTAATGAAATCAGGCATATGCCATGGGGTATACTATGAGGAAATTTTGACTAGACAATCGTGTTTTTGACTGCTCTTCCTTCAATTCCAACTGCCAAGGGTTCTTTTAAATATACGGCAACATGTACCATCCGAATGAATGTTTTCACGCTGTGCCTTGCCAGACTCTTCGTCCTGTACAACTGACCAGGGGACACCACACTGAAAAAGAATTCCGTTGTGGCCATATTGTTTGAAATTCGCCGATATCTTTCATGGAAATAGTAATTATGGTTTAATTTCAATGGAAAATAATCATCGTGGTAGTTCAGTGAGTAAGAGGTTGGCTCGCTATCCAGAAGGTCTCAGGTCTACTCCCAGAAAGTCAGTGGTGCAGGACAGAGGGTGTGGCAAGGTACTGTTGTTCAGATGGGACGAAAAACTGAAGTTTTCTTGTACACTTTGGCACGCATGTGAAAGAATCCTTTGCAGTTAAGAGTATAGTAGCGCTGCTCTCTGAGCAAAATTTTCCTTATACCACACTACATGGTGAATGTCCGTCTTCGTGTTTATATATATTGTGAATATAAATTGAATTGTGAATCGATCTTTATATAAATTGAATTGTGAATCATGTTTATATAAAAATTGTGAATCATGTTTATATAAATTGTGAATCATGTTTATATAAATGGAATTGTGAATCATGTTTATATAAATTGCGAATCGTGTTTATATAAATTGTGTATCAGAATTAAATGTCATGCTTCCATATTTTATTTGTTAATTCATAAAATAAATTTCAGATAAATATAGAGTTGACTTATCACAATTACATTAATACCAGCGAGTATTGTGGACAAACCGACTGACATAGGTGATGACAATATATGACCATATTAAATAGAACCATTGCAGCTGTCGAGGGGTTTGTGGTATAACCCTTAGAAATTAGACTGCCCAGTCAAGTCCACTGCATGGTCTTATAATACGGAGAGCTATTTACATAACTCTGGCGGTTTGAGGCGATCTAAGGAAGATCTAAGGAAGAGCAGTTTCGGGATGTACCTGTTCAGGGATGTACCAGTATTAATATATCACTTTTCTCGAATTTTATCTTCCAAGTGCTAGAGGAGAAAGAAATGGGGTTTAACATTCACTCGACACAAACTAGGTCATTTCGGGACTAACATATGGTTCAATTTTATTTCAATAATTTGTTTGGGCGTGGGAGGACCCGGAGAAAACCCTCAATTTTTTCTACCAATTGTTAAAGGGTTAAAGTCTCGACAATGTACAGTAAATTTGATATCTATGGTTACACTCGCAATGTGAGGGAGAGCATTTTGCCCAGACAAACGTGTTTCTGTCTACTCTTTATCGAATTCAAGCTGCCAAGGGTTCTTTAACGTGCGGGGATCATGTGGCTAAGTGGGTTAGACGCTGGCTCGCTAGCCTGGAGGTCGGGTGTTCGATCCCTGCATTGGCCGAGAAAGTTCATCCAGATTTTCGGGCGTGGTTCAGGACGGAGGGCTTGACTAGGACAGCTGTCTAGTCCTTCTGATGATACGAAAAACCGAGGTCCGGTGTATACATTGGAATGCACATAAAAGATCTCCTGGCAGTTGGAATTCGATAGTGCCGCTGTCCGGGCAAAATTTCCCTCATAGCACACTGTATGGCTTATGCCCGTCTTCATTAGCCCAGTATAGGAGCAGAACAGTAGGACGTTAAACCCCATTTCATTTCATTTCATTTCTTTAACATGCATGCCATCTGGACCACAGTTTATTGACCCACCAACTCAAATGACTCGACACAATTTTTATGTCTGCCCCATGCTACACCTTCGAAAAATCAATTTAGTTCTTCTTGGCCAGCACATGCCAGTTATCCAAACCTTTGGATATTCTAGTTCAGATGCCCTACTTTATGCAAACATCTTTCTCTCTCTCTCTCTCCAAAAATGAAGACAAATGAATCTAGACTTTGTCAGTCATATTGTCACCTTTTAAAAATGGCTGTGGTGATTATTGCCAAGAGAAACAGCTGTTTTTGGTGCACAGCCTGATTCAATATGACAGTCCAGCAACCCAGCCAACTTCTATCCCACCACCATTATATATGGCATCATTATCCCTCTTCTCCACCACTGTATATGGCATCATTATCCCTTTTCTCTCCCATCATTGTATATAGGATCATTATCCCTCTTCTCGTCAACTATAGGATCATTATCCCCCTTCTCTCTCCCACCATTTTATATGGAATTATTAATAGGGTTTAACATCCTACTTTTCTGCTCCGATTGGGCTAATGAAGACAGGCATACGCCAAACTGTGCTATGTGGTAAATTTTGCCAAAGGATCTTTTACATAACGCCAATATGTAAAATGATATGAAATGAAATGGGGTTTAACGTCCCACTGTTCTGCTCCTATGCAGGGTTAATGAAGACGGGCATACGCCAAACAGTGTGCTATGAGGGAAATTTTGCCCGGGCAATGGCACTATCGCCTTCTCTTATATCGAATTAAAACTGCCAAGGGATCTTTTACGTGCATTCCAATGTATACACAGGACCTCGGGTTTTTCGTCTCATCCGAAGGACTAGACAGCTGTCCTTGTGAGGCCCTCCGTCCTGCATCACTGACAAGGGGGAACCACGCCGGAAAATCTGGATGAATTTTTTGGCCTCCAATGCAGGGATCGAACACCCGACCTCCAGGCTACCGAGCCAGCGTCTTACCCACTTAGCCACGTGATCCCCACGCCAATGTGTACACAGAACCTTGGTTGTTCGTCCCATATGAACGACTATACGTTGTCCCTTGCCAGACCCTCCATCGAACACCACTGACAAGGGGGAACCACGCCGGAAAATCCAGATGAAACTTCTCAGACAATCCCGGGATCGAGCACGGGAGCCCTATGGTTAGTGAGACGTCTTACTCATTGAGCCACCTTGCCTCCCTCGCTGTGTATGGAGTCAGTATAAAATAAAACAAGCATAATATTGGTGATGTTTTTACAACATGTTTATTGACACAGCAGGACGAGTTTTTACTACATTAACAAGCAGCTCATCGACTAATACACATATAGATACTGGTGTAATCTAGACTATATATAATACCAGACTTGATTATCCAGGATATTAAATACTGTTAACCAGTTCTTACTGTCTGGAATATTGAATTGATATTGTAGGTGAGTCCAGATTATCAGGTCTAAATCTAAAGTCAATTAGTTTCACAAAAAGCCTCCATGTATCAGAATTAATAGTCCAGTATATTTTGTACTGAATATTCAAAAAGACTTGTATATTTTAGACTATACGATCTTGATTATCCAGAATACTTAAAAAATTTCATTTGGATTAGAATATTTATAATAAATGAAATTTCAAAATGCAATCTAATATTTCTTTAATCTCATTATTCAAGCCTTTGATCAGGATTTATGAATTGAAAATATGTACTCGGAAATATGTTGCTTTGATGATGGGTAACTTTTTTCTGTTTTATGACAAATTTTCTCTTTTTTTTTCTACCAAGTACCTTTAACTTAAAAAAACAAAATTGACATCACAACCGACCACATAAATTAAGATTTACATCTTAAAAACCGAATTGCACTTTTTCCTACGCAAACGAATCAAATATTATTCTTTAACCAGAACTGAGCTCTAAGTGTCGATAGTAACATATAATATATATATATATCGCAAAATTGGGCAAAACAGACGCAAGACCCAGATTAAGTTGGGGTTTTTTCTGAAGTACAAGTACGATTAATTTATTGAACTGGAAGCAAATTACAATGTCAATATTTACTGCACAATGTTTATTTTATTAAATTTTAAGATAACGCTGTATAAAAAACATGCAAAATGTTTTCCCAAAAGCAACATTTTCTTAAAAAAAGAAAGAAAAAAAAGTGAAATTATTTGAATATGATTCGTGTAATACAATGAAATTAACTCGTGACTCGTACATATGATTACACGGGTATATATATATATATAGCATATAATTAATACGTCATCGCGAGATTTCCGAAAACGTGGCCGATTTCCGACCAAAATAACATCCACAACAGACACGTTTTCGCAGATCTGCGCATTAACCTACATAATAAGTAAATTTACACTAAAATCGTGACGAAAAATGTCTCATTTTTTTTTATTTAAAAAAAGCTGAACAAATTCATAAAGTCGCGCAAGGTTTAAAACTACATGTATAGGGCATGTTCATAGCTCGTTTTAACAAGAGAGTTATCTTCCCCTGTATTCAATACGTTACTATGGTAACTCTGCAAGAAGGATAACTCTATTATTAGAAAGTGCCATAGTTAAGAATATTATTACAAGTTATAATTATATAACGGCAAAAATTATTTACAAATAAAAAAGCTGTATTTTACATTAAATGGTTTGTAACAAAACAAGGAAAAAAAAAACTAAGATTAATATTATTAATAATTAAATGTAAAAATTAAATTTAAAACAAAACAGCTACCATCTTTATTCTCTACTATTACACTGGGGTTCTACAATACCTCCATCCTTTAATAATGAGAATACTAGAATAAGAGCGAAGAAATGGATCACATGAGATGATCGACTGTGTGTATGTGTGTGGATCCTTTGGGTCTACAAAAACCTTCCATGATTAAATAACAAACGATAAATTAATTAGCATGTAATGCTATCAATCAATGTTCCCGCCATGAATCTCTCAGTCTACGAGCATCCACACTATTAATCAAGATGTTAATTAAATAATGTGGATATGATCGTGCGATTTTTTCGAATCATCCACACTTCTATGAGAAGGTTTTCAGTACACTCCATCAGTTAATAATAATAATGGTTAAGGTTTATCAGTATAATAAATGCTTATATTTTTTTGAAAAAAAAAAAACAGGTTTGGAGAGTTCTCAATTCAATCAAACAAATGATAATACTCGGTCATGAAAATATGGCAGTGACACTGCATTTATTGACGATCTAAATCCAAAACCAATCTTATGGCAATTATAATCTGTAGCAAACAAAGAAAATTAGAAATTATATAAATTTCAAATCTTAAATATTTATTTCAAAATTAGACAATGTAAACCCAAGATTTCTGATTGGAGCATATCACGATTATACATGTATATATATATATATAGTCAATACTGATGTTAATTCACGTAAAATGGCATCGTATCCCATCATTCCATATAATTTATGTCTTGTGCCTATTTTTGTAAGAAAATGGTGAGTTGCTAAACATGTCTAAAACCATGTGCACAACTTCGACAGTAAATATGGTGTTAGCAAGTAAAGTTGACTCAGTGACAGAGAGAGAGAGAGAAATGGGGTTTAACAATTCACTTGACACAAACTAGGTCATTTCGGGACTAACATATGGTTTAATTTTTATTTCAATAATTCGCTTGCACGTAGGGGTCTTTAGCAATGGGAAACCTCACCACTTGACTCAATGACAGACCTTATTAAACCATCAACCACCACTCGGTGACCGACATGATTTAAACCATCGGACCCCCCCCCCCCATCACAAGTCACAACACGTACAAAAGTGAATTATATGATTTGATGAGATACAATACCTTCAGATACACGTTTCATAAACTAGATTTAATTATATTACCGGATTCAATACAGAATATTATCGAAATCAGACAAAATTAATCAACAAGATAACCAAATAATACAGAAAATGGAAAAATCAACCAAAACTTAAATTCAAATTCATTGCAAAAAAACTAAAAATTAAAAACTTCATAATGAAGTTCAAGCCATAACCCTCCACCCGAATTCCCACTTCAAAAGTGTTTCACTCAATTATTTTGCATTAAATAAAAACAGAAATGAATTTGAACTAAAGTTTAAGCATATATTAATAATCCACTCTACAATATGCACAATTACCAGTCCTTGTCCACAATTTATAAAATATCTCGGAATAAAAGAGATATTTCCAAAATTTTTAAGCTACAAATATTGATTTTCAGAAAAAACTTCAAAGCATGTTTGGTAAAATGCAACATTTAGCTTTAAAAGTGCATTTAACGATAGCCATGTCTATGTGTTTCTATGCCTTTTTGTGGAACGCCCTAAGAAAATTTAGTAAATTCAAAGATAAACTCAAATCCGCAGCATGGAAGCACCACAAGTGAGAATTACATTAAGGGAATCTAATAATGAAATATGAATTATATACCGGTATATATCTTGGACTTTATGAAAATTTAAGTTGATTCAAAACTGCAATATACATGTCCAAAAACTTCTCTCAAAACATTCTGTGTTTTTCTGGACCTAATTCTACAGATTTTACTGGGAATTTTCTTTATCTATTTGAACAGAACAAAAATACATGTTTTTAAATCCCTTTTTTTTTTTTTTTATCAGTTTGCATTATTTTTAGAATTTCTCAAAATTTTGTACTGCAAACCTTCTTAAATTCCTTCATTTAGATTTTGCCGTTTGTTTTTCTTTTAGAGTAAAAAAAGTTAAACCAAAGTGGAATAACTTCTTATATCAAATTAACGACAATAAAATAAAACAATATTGCGTCAGAAAAACAAACAAAAAAGGGTTAAATACGAAAGTTTGAAGAGTCTCCATAAGACTGTTTACAGTATTTTATAAATATGTCAGGCGAATAATCAACGAATCATGAAAATAATAAATTTAATAAATTACTGAATAAATACCATGATAAAACTTACATAAACAGCCCATTTTTAACTCTCTTGTTTTTGGTCACTATGGTTACTGTGCCCATTTCTATTCTCAGTTCTTCTAATTTTGAGCAACGAGCGTGCTTTAATTGATTTTTATCCAATGAAAATGATTTTCTTAAAACAAACGGATTTAATCACAACTTATTTCAATAAACATTAATTAAATTTCACACTTCCCTTTCAGACTTTTTCACAGGCCATGGTTTCAAGTTTTATCATGAAATTTCTTATCAATTCCCAATAAAATCTGTGAATTACATAGATAGATATATTTATATACACTGTTGCTGGTTTGTCGACTACATTCATATTATTATTTAAAAAAACTGATTGGCAAGATGGTTAATATAAACATTGCCAAATTAATAAAATGGTCCACTTCACTATAGTGTGAAAGAATGAATATATGACAAGGTTGTTTTTTTATTAAATATGGTTTAACAAGCAGATATCACACAAAACTAAATTAAGGACCCCTAGGCCCTTAAATCAAGAAAGGACAACCCTTATAAAGGAAGGCCTCAATCAATTAAGGATGCCACTTCTAAGGTAAGCTTATGTTCCTGAATCACTTGAGGACTACATTTTGAAGATGACCCCTGATTAATACAAGACACTTCACCATAATTGATAAAGGCCAACCTTTCTAATGTAAGGATTGTCCTTAATCAAGGATGACCCTTATATGGTAATCGATAAATGTGAGCTAGAACAAAGAAATGCATAGAAGACATTTACTTATAAAATAAAAACAAAATAAACCAACAATTTACATTACAGCAAAGATAATTATTATAATAATTTCATATCGAATCAAATTCATCCATATTTTGCTGTGAAAAAACACGAATAATGAAATAACTATCTCAAATTTACTTAATTAAATGATGAGGCAACCAATGCCATTTATGGTGAAATCGAAAATGGTCGCTCTTGTTGCCTTGACTACTATCCACTAAGCGTACAATCAACGTGACGCGATAAAAACTTGCACTTTACAAATGACAAGGTAAGCGCTTCTCTAGAAAAACAGAAGAACGCTTACAAATATTTAATAAAGCACTTAGATGACATGAAAATAAAAAGGCTCAATGAAGTCGCGAAAAATACAAACACAAAATTTGCACGCTGTATCGGGAGTACATTTTCTGTGTCTCAATAACAAATGACGAAGATGATTTTAAAAGCGTTTTATTCGAATGAAAGCAACAATTAAAACGTAATGTACGTGTCTCTCTATATTTATCATCGTATTCCACGTTATTTTATTTATTTGAATCGTCTCTAAGACTAAAGAAAAAGGAGATCTACTTTATTTCTATTTAAAAAGTGCTCTCTTTGCTCTCCTTATTCTTCTTCTTGTTAAAACTGGGCATACGGAACTTCTTCTTTTTCTTCTTTTCTTTCTCTTTATTCGGTGATGCCTGTTCCTTAGTGGGTGAGCCCTGAAAATATGGTATCATTCAATTAAATATGGTATCATTCAATTAAATATGGTATCATTCAATTAAATATGGTATCATTCAATTAGATATGGTATCATCCATTCAATGAAATGAAAATGGGGTATAATGTCATACTGATCTACAACAACTGGACTAATGCTAATGAAGATGGGCTTACGCCACATGCAGTGTCCTCCTGTATGGGAAATTTTGGCCTACTATGTGATATGTGACCTCGGTTTTTCATCTCATCTAAACGTCTAGTCGCTGTACTTGCCGGGGCCTTCATCCTGCACCATTGATATGGGGAAACCACACCGGAATATCCCAGTTAACTTTTCTCGGCCAACACTGGGATCAAATCCCTGGACTTCCTGGTTAATGACTCAGCGCCTTACTCACCGACAGATCTTATGATCTAAAGTGCACACGTTAAATCCCCCCCCCTCCCCAACTCTGATAGAGAAGTGAAAATACATGTGTACAAACTATCTGATTAAAACACAGATCCTATTTCATTTCTTTTTTTATAGTTCAAAATTTTGTTTTACTTGTCTTTACTACACTAGGATCTGGAAGAGATGTTGTATTACTGGCGTTCTGGTGGAAGTGAGGGATAAGCCAATGAAAGGGTCTAGCGTATTAAACGTACCTCCTTGCTGGATCTGTCCTCCAGTGTTTCTCCCCCACTAGCACTGTCAGTTGATCTTAGTGTATCCGATTTAGCTGGTGAACCAGGCTTCTCTCCTTCACCTGATGGAAATAAAACAAAAATACATTTATCATTAATTTTATATCTTTTAATACAAAACCTAACATGAAGAAAATATTTCTTCTAGGGTGTCCATTGTATTCGACTCAGAGAAAAAAAACTCTAGAAGCTAACAAGAGTGTGAATTTAGGTTTGTATGGGTTTTTATTTGTTTGAACCTATGGATGCCCACACCTAGAAATAAAGCACCTGTTATTTCAATATCCGGTACAAGCCCACTGGTTTCTGGTTATTTTGTCAGTTATATATTTGTCTTTTTTCTGTGGTTTTTTTTTTATTGATTTTATTATTACATTTTTTTCACTTGTCAATATCAATATCCCCTTGATTTATAAGTACATTGTGAATAATTTTATTTCAACATTACAGATATATATAGATATATAATACTATCCCTCAACCAAGAGCAATCCTCGGAATCCCAGAGATAAGTTCAATATTATTCTCCTCAATCAATGAAGCACTCCCCTCCCTCTAGTTTTATATACCTCACCACCACCATATGCAAAACAACCCCAGAAGCAGTTATAACATATATACCCCATAACCTATCCTCGGTATTCCCAGTAATCTCATTCCGTTCTACTCCATTATACCCCACTATATTCAAATTATCTTCCCTTGATCGTAGCTTGATTCTACGAACCAATCAAAAAACGGTTTACAAACCAGTCTTAGCCTCATTGTTTACGTTCACAACAATATGGCAGCTTGTTCGGTCGATTATGAGAAAGTTTTCAAGAAATTTAATATGAAAAAAGGGACAGAGTTAAAACTTAAAACGGTGCAAAAAAGAAATAAATGTGCACTTAACAGATGTGAGAAGAAAGAAATTCATGCTTGTGACAAACAATTAAAAATATCGACAAAAAAATAAAATAAAGAGGTTAAGGCTTCACCAATTTTAATTTTTGTTCTTCCGGAAACCCAAATAAAATTTGGCTTCCTAATTTTTCCTTCGAGGGGGGAAAAAAATTTTTAAAACAAGAAGTAGATGGTTTCTGTTATCAAAAGGTTTTTAGCTCCAAATTTTAAACCTAAGACCCACTTCACAAAACATTCTTAGATTTAAGTTAAGAATTAACTCAACATTGTTACCGTATTTTAACTAAAATATAGCAATTTATAAAACTTTTGTTGTTTTCAACAAATATATCAATAAGAAACTATGTACAAAGTTTTGTGTTTCTTGATCAAAGATATTTCTCATAAACAGTGATTGAAAGTTGAGTAAACTCTTAACTTAAATCTGAGAATGCTGAAATTTTAACCAATACATCATTCATGAGATGCGTTAGGTATTTATTTATAAAGACCCCCCAAAAAACTAAAAATTAAAATTGGTTGGCCCGAGACCTATTAAACCTGCTGTTCTCAGCAAAAACGGTTTGACAATAAATATATTGTGTGTTTTGAGTACGAGTTAGAACTCACCGCGACCTCTGCGATCCGATTGCGATCTGCCGATACCTTTCTCAGATAATTCACGTAAAACTAAATAAAGATACAGATAAAAAGCACATCAACCAATAAAACATGCAGTGACAATATCATATATATTATATCTTCACATCGTCATGGTTACAAAAACATACAAGGTACGTATAATTTAAAGTCTCTTCAACACCCACAATGCATCGGCCATTTTTAACACACACAACGCATCATTCATTTTGAGACTAACATATTAAAAATTATATTTCCATGGTTATGTGTGCAGTACAAAGAGTGAGAATTTTGCCCAGGCAGCAGCGCTTCTGTCTACGCTTCTTGTCATAATCTCCATCCTGCACCACGTGGAAAATAACCATGAAACTTTCTTGGTCAACACGAGGATCGATTCCGGGACTACCTGGTTACTGACAGAGTCACTATCGATCTCAGGTTGTGGACCAATGACAGTGCTTGTTACAAAGCAACTATGTCACTGACTAAAGAGTGACGAAAAAAGAGTTTGTATTCCTGTTATAATACCTTGACGATGTGAAGATATATTACAATAGTTTACTAATCTTCTTTGTAGTCCATCCTTAATTTTGTCAAGTATAAGTGCCCTGACTGCTCAACTACCACGGAGGGGGACTGTGACCGAATGGTTTAACACAAGCGTAAGATCAAAGGACTGTCATTGAGTTAAGTGGCGTAGTTTTGATTCCCTGCTTATATGAATGATTATATGAATATACCCTGACAAGTAGAATCACCTCTGATCAGAAGATATGAACATAGAAGATTAGTTAACTTTTATATATTATATGGAGATCAGTTTTCCACAGAAAAAACAAAATTCATATATATATATATATATAATTAAGAGCCATTCCAATTTTTTATACAACTTTGAGCCATTCCAATTATTTATATTAATTTGAGCCATTCCAATTATATCAATTTGAGCCATTCCCATTACTTATATCAATTTGAGCCATTCCAATTATTTATATTAATTTGAGCCATTCCAATTTTTTCTATCAATTTGAGCCATTCTTATTATATTAATTTGAGCCATTCCAATTATTTATATCAATTAGAGCCATTCCGATTATTTATATCAATTTGAGCCATTCCAATTACTTATATCAATTTGAGCCATTCCAATTATTTATAGTAGAGCCATTCCAATTATTTATATCAATTTGAGCCATTCCAATTATTTATATCAATTAGAGCCATTCCTTTTACTAAGTTAAGAGTCATTTCTTTTATTTGTATCAATCTGACCCATTTCTTTGATAATTAAGCAAAATCTTATAAGTCACAACCACCCAGACATTAGTAAACGATATGTATGTAATTCTCTTGTTAAACCAAATTTTCAAAACCATTGCGTCCATTATTCATGACAAGCGGAAGAGCTCTCAAGGAGAATTAAAGGGACATTACTGAAATTGACTAAAAATAATATCGCACAAAAGAGAAAACGTTATGGTTCTTAACCAGTCAAAATTCCAAAACCCTTGAATGGAAAATTGTGACAAGGTCACAAGCAGAATGGCTCTCTTAATCTTTAACAAAAAGTGAATCTAAGGGAGATAACTGAAATTTGACTAAAAATACAATAATGTGATTAAATAAAGAGGTGCAAGGCAGACTTACGTGCAGGATCACGATGCGGTTGTCGTTCAGATTCTGCGCGTTTGACAGGGGTAGAGTACTCTAAATAAACATGCAAAATAAAATACGCAAAATAAAAAAAACATGCTACAACAATATATTCTACAAAACAAGATTATACACAATATCTATAATATAATTACACTGGCTTCAATACAAAAATATAATCTTGTCAATCCTGACAAATTCGCACAATTAATGAAAGAGAGTGTATGTCTCCTGAAATTAAGGTTCAACATCCTACTTTTCTGGGCAGCTAGAGCTCCAAGCGCGACACTATAGACCAATAGACCATCCAAACCTTCCTTAGGATGTTAATTAAACCCTATTTGATCTTATCCTTGAAGTTTCAGTTTATTTCTGACAAAATTATATTGAATATATTGAATCCAGTGTCTGTAGTTTTGGGTAAATTATTAAAGGAATAGATAATAAGATATTAAATAAGAAACACATTCATTTTAAAATACACACTACAAACATAAATATATAATTACACATTATAATCAATCTATAGAGATATTAAAGAATAAATAATGAACAATCTGGCCAACTTTAGATTGCAGCCCGGTTCATAAGTGTCTGCTGATTTTCAAAATCCCCAGACAATTTGTATGCCTCATAAGAGGTACATTAAGTGAAAGAGAGAGAGAGAGTGAGAAATGGGGTTTAACGTCCGCTCGACACAAACTACGTCATTTCGGGACTAACACATAGTTCAATTTTATTTCGATAATTCCCTTGCGCATAGAGATCTTTAGCAGTGGGAGGAAATCTGAGGACCTGGAGAAAACCCACAAGGTTGGACAGGCGACCCTACTCCTTGTCATGTACAACCGCGGAAATCGAAACCACACCAGTTGAACCACACCAGTTCAGTCATCCAACTCCCCTGGAGTGAAAGACCTGTCTCAGATTCAACATGCCATCTAATATGACCAACCCCGATAGAACTGTTAGTCAGCTCTATAATTCGTGTACCTCTTTACGGTTGGTATTTTTTCACATTTATGAGTCTATTTTCAAGAATTATTAAATCTTTTCTATATATATGGAAATATATGATGTGATTCCACTAAATAAATATAAATTCTACATTTCTGGCAGTGAGTGGTATATAAGTCTGCAGTCTTTCACCAAGATGAAACTTGAAGTAATCAAGAAGGATAAGCATATTTTATTGATGATGATGATGATGATGATGATGATGACGGTTGGGTCATCCCAACTTGGTATATATGGTAGCTGTGCTTGAAAATGAGATGGCAGTGTTAAGAATCCCAGATTTTTTTTTTGTGAAGTGACATGGAATGACCTGGTTATTATGGTAAATCTGCCAGCAAAATAACAGTTTTAGATTTTCCTGCCGTTTTAGTCCGAACTGGGCTAATGAAGACGGGCATATGCCATACAGTGTGCTATGAGGGAAATTTTGCCCGGACAGCAGCTCTGCGGCCTACTCTTAATCTTATATCGAATTCCAACTTTCAAGGGATCTTTTACGTGCACGCCAATGTGTACGCGGGACCTCGGTTTTCCGTCCCATCCGAACGACTCGACAGCTGTTCTTGTCAGGCCCTCCGTCCTGTACCACTGACAAGGGGGAAGCATGTCGGAAAATCTTACCCACATAGCCACCGTGATCCCCTATTTTCCAATGGATTGTCTGTTGAAGTAATTAGTATAGCAAAGAAAGAAAATCAAGTTAAACTGAATATTTATCGGCTGTTGGGTGGTTTTATCATAAAAGGAGCGAGATTACAATTTGGGGGAGATGGGATCTCGTAGTTGAGCTCAATAAATCTTATTTTAGGAGCTTTAATAAGTCTAAAAATAAAATATCAAAACATAGCTGTTACTTCTGATTTTCCTTTTCAACCCATTTTCTGTTGTATTTTAAGAGAAATCATGCTCTCGGTAATTGCTTTATATTTCATGAAAGGGAGGGACTAGTTAGTTGAGCTAAATAAATTTGAATTTAGGAGATATAAAATACTAAAACATAGCTGTTACTTCTTTTCATTTTTCATCCATGGTGTTTTAGGTACATGAAATCTGTTGACCTATGAACTGTGTAAAATGATGAAGAGTTAATTAAGTATATTAGAAATGAACGAGGAAAGTTAGAAGCATGTAAGCGATTCCATCCGTTAAATCAACGAGTATCACCTGGACGCTTATTTCTATCGCCATTTTGTCCGTGTTTGGGTGGCACGCTTGGCGTCGTACGTATTTCGTCCAGTAGGGTTTCCACATCAGCACACACGCTGTCTTCTAAAGGAATACCTGATTCAGAACCTAAAGGAGGAAAACTACATGCAGAAACTACAAAATACTATAAGTACATGCTAATACAATAGTTGTAAAATCAGTTGGTTTTATTGTTAAATTATATAAAAAGACAGGTTTTCACCAAGTCATGACAATATCCACCAAGTAGTGACAATTTTCACTAAGTCATGACGATTTTCACCAAGTCATGACAAGTTTTACTAAGTCATGATGAATTTCACCAAGTCATGACAAGTTTTACTAAGTCATGATGAATTTCACCAAGTCATGACAAGTTTTACTAAGTCAGGACAATTTTCACAATAAAATAAATACAAATATAAGTGTTTTTACACATGTGCCCAGAGATTTTTGTTTCTCAACACCAAGAACATTTGGGTGTCAACGGTAATTATGGTGTATAACTGGTCCTGAATAGAATAACAATAATGAGGGCACAATTTTATGCGTAAAATATAGGGCATTTCAGAGGGCTGCCCTCAATTTCATGATGCCATCTTGTTTTTCCCAGACTTGGTAAAAACACAGTCATGCTGTTTAGTGGAAATTGTTCAATAGAAAGGGAGTTAACTCTACTGACCTATGTTGTTATTACCAGAACAATAAACAGAAAAGCTGATTAAAACGTACAATATAAGCATTCTAATTATTAACCCTTTAAGCGTGCAATCACTTTGAATTTTCATTCAACCAATATTTGACCAATATGAATCACTGGAAAAACTATTGTGAACTAAGATTTAAATTATGTAAAATTTCCATCCTTATTTCAGTAATAGTTATTGGTGTCTGTAGTTGGTGATCGTTGTGCTTATAAAGCTCACCAGAAAGCTTCGTAAGTTTTTTAAATAATGCAAGTATGTCAACATAACACAATCCCGAATGTCAATGTTAACTGCAATGGGTAACATTCGACGCTAGCAATTGTCGCCATTCTACGTGAGTAGTCGTAATTTTCCGCCAATAAAACAGCCGTAACATCATTTCAGTTCTTCTGCTTATAGAAATATAGACTAAAATATGTTGACATTATTTTAAAAATTTATGAAGCTTTTCGGGTGAGCTTTAAAGGGTTAACCTGTATTAGTATGTGAGCCACATGTGTTATACTAGTTTCTATTAAAGCCACTGATCGTCTATTGATAGATTTGGAATCCCTTGAAAACTTGAATATTGTTAAAGTTGCATTTCTAAAAGGAAATGAAATGGGGTTTAAAGTCCTATTGTTCTGCTCCGAAGGGGCTAATGAAGACGGGCATACGCCATACAGTGTGCTATGAGGGAAATTTTGCCCGGGCAGTGGCACTATGGCCTACTCTTATATCTAATTCCAACTGCCAAGGGATCTTTTACGTGCACGGCAATGCATACATGGGACCTTGGTTTATCGGTCCTTTTGATTTCTAAAAGGAATATCAGTCCAAAAATGTTTCAATTCCGTTCAATATTAATGAAGAACTTATGAATTAAAAATTTTAGTAGAACTACGTAATTTTGGATAATTTTGTCTGATGAACCTCTTTTTAATCTGAATGAATCCACCAAGCTGGGAGAATTATCTATTGTTGAAATTTGGATTTTTCTTAATTAAATATCAAATAATCAATATGGGTTTATTTCAGCGTGGATTAAGTCTTAAGAAGATATAGTCCGAAAAAAAATATAAATAACGATCAATGGCTGAAGGGGTTAACAGAAATCATTCACCGAAAACAAAGTTACTGATTTGTCCATTCAGCAAGGAATATGTGTATATATATATCAATGATCATGTGACCGTCACCATGGTTACAATACATACCTGGCTGTGGACTTTGTTCTGGCTCCCCATTAACGTAATCGCTGGCATGTGACATGTCTAGTGATTCTAAGCAGACAAAACAAACAAACCATGCAGAAAACACATGACATCATAAAAACAACAAGTACATTAGTAAGGCTACAATTTATTCTAGAATTTGTTTCCTGATTTTATAAAAAAAACAACTCCTGTCTACATTTTGATGAAGAACAAGAGAAAAGTATTTAGCAACAAAGATTTTTTTGATGAATATTTGATAAATTGTAGTCTTACACTAGCTAATATACTACAAAATCAATTCTATTACGCCATATGAAAAAATATTCTGGTTGTCACTTGAATTGGGTCAAATGAACAATAATAACTACATCCTAAGATATGAAATGAAATGGGGTTTAACGTCCTACTGTTCTACGTCGACTGGGCTAATGAAGATGGGCATACGCCATACAGTATGCTGTGAGGGAAATTTTGCCCGATCAGCGGCACTATGGCCTACTCTTATATCGAATTCCAACTGTCAAGGGATCTTTTATGTGCAAGGCAATGTATACACGGGACCTTGGTTTTTCGTCCCATCCTGCACCACTGACAAGAGGGGAAACCATGTCGGAAAATCCTGATGAACTATCTCGGCTAATGCAGGGATCGAACATGCGACCTCCAGACTAGTGAGCCAGCGTTTTACCCACTTAGCCACTGTGGTTCCCTACATCCTAATAACATCACAGGAATTAGTAATCATGTAAGGGAATACCGCTTGAAAGCATGAATAAAAAAAGCCCCCCCCCCCTTTTTTTTTTTTAAAAATTAGAAAAGCTCCCGTTGACATCAGATTTTTTTTTCCATTTTTTAGGAATGTTGGAAATGAAATGGGGCTTTAAGCATCACTACAAACTACTCTTATATTGAATTCCAACTGCCAAGGGTTCTTTATGGACACGCCAATGTATACACAGGACCTCGGTTTTAGGGTTGTTTGAGAACCAGAACATTTTTTTATTACCAACACATTAAACTACATGATTACATTTCTCTCTTCTATATTAGTAAATATTACACACGATATACATTATTAAACATCAAAACAAATTCCTTTATCGGGTTACTCCACTTCACTACAGACCATTTTGTTAATTTATAAAACTTTTATTTGGACAAACAGCACTTGTGTGTGTGTTAACTCAGTGAAGTTCAAATATCAGAAATCTACTGTTATCAGATTTTTTGATTTTCACCTTAGCCTTTCACTTCCCATTTTTCTTTTTTGGGATGTGGATGTTTGAAATCAAGCATTAATAATTCAGCTAGCATTCAACAAACACATGACACAGATTTATCTAAGTGCAGATAACTCTAAACTACTAACAGACACAAACTTTGCAGACATTTAGAGGATACTCGATCATCAGTCCAGAACGTCCCAATTTGACAGAAGTGAAGCGGACTTCAGTTCTGTCACAGTCCCCAGAAAAACAGGTGAGGTAAGTAGAATCGTGACGTAATTAAACACATCAAATGTTTCATCAGAGGTCATGGTTGGTTGAGACATTCGTTTATTCAGTCGGCATGTTCCTTTTCACTAAACCGACACTATTTTGGGGACTGAGAGAACATTCAATTGAGTATCCCCTAAGAAGTTTAAGTAATTCTTACAATACTAATCTAGCAATTTAGTTGAAGTAATGGAGGAGATTCACGATATCAAGAAACATAATAATTAAATGTAAAATATGACCTACCATCTTGTTTTTCATCCATCGATCTGTTCATCTGTATTTGTTGAAGTCTTTCATCGGAAGATATCAGTTTCCCGTCTGGTCCTGGACTTCCTTCATCTTCATCTACAGCTACAAACAAATGAAATAAAATGGGGTTTAACGTCCGCTCGACACAAACTAAGTCATTTCGGGACTAACATATGGTTCAATTTTATTTCAATAATTTGCATGCACGTAGGGGTCTTTAGCAGTGGAAGGAAACTGGAGGACCCAGAGAAAACACACGAGGTTGGACAGGCGACCCTACTCCTAGTCACGTACAACCATAGGGAATCGAAACCATGCCAGCTGACTCAATGACAATGACAGACCTTATGTTACAGAGCACACATGCTAACCATTCGGCCATCCAACCCCCCTGAAATAAAATTAAATGGGGTTTAACTTCCTACAGTTCTGATTTTACTGAGCTAATGAAGAAGGCCAAACGACATACAGTGCACTATGAGGGAATTTTTGCCTGGACAACGGAGCTACTGGCTACTATTATTTTGAATTAAAACTGTCACGTTTTTTTGGGTTTTTTTATGTGCACGCAAATGTGTACATGGGGGTCTAGGTTTTTCGTCCCATCCGAACAATTATATGTTGTCCCTTGCCAGGCCCTCCGTCTTGCACCACTAACAAGGGGAAAATCCTGATACTCTCGCCGCCAAAACCTGGATCAAATTTCTTACTAAATGAGCAAACGTGGCTCCCAGCTACAAATTCCAATCGTAAACGTTTTACTTTGAACAATAAGAGAGAGAAATTGAGTTTAACATCCAGTCGACATGAATTAGGCTATTATGGGACTAACACATGGTTCAATTTTACTTCAATAATTCACTTGTGCATAGAGCTAGTTAGCTGTGGGAGAAACTGATGGACCTGTAGAAAACCCACAAGATTGGACATGCGACCAATCTGATTAAAATACAGATCTATATTTCGTTTTGTTTTTTTACACTTTCGATAGCGCCTACACTACATGAACATCTGACAAGTTATAGCAATAGGTCACGTCAGGGGGTCAAAAGACCGACTTATGACCCTATGACGTCAGACATTTGATTAACCAATCAGCATTGATGTTACTAGTGGATTACCCACAGTTCTGTGAAAAACACGCCTAAAGCTCGCCGTAACAGACCGTTTCATTGGCTTATCCCTGACACCATTCAGAACATGATTTAAATAACAACTCTTCCAGATCCAAGTGTAGTAAAGACAAGTAAAACGAAATTTTGAATTATAAAAACGAAACGAAAAAGGATCTGTGTTTTAACCAGATTAGACATGCGACCATACTTCTTGGCATGTACAAGCAGGGAATCGAAACCATGCCACTTGACTCAATGACAGACCTTAAGATCTAAATCTAAAGTGTTAAATAATCAAAATGAGTTCACTTTAGCTTGAATTAAGTCGTGGAAAATTTAGACATTTTCAAAACATCGCGATCTGGGCACTTATTCACGAAAACTTAAACTAAGATACAATCAAAATTTTAAGAAATACTGCAATTCGATTGGCTGACCAATATGCAAATTGGATATATGCAAATTGATTTAACTGGTCAGCCAATCGAATATTTCTTAAAATTTCGATTGTATCTTAGTTTAAGTTTTCGTGAATAAGGGCCCAGAGACTTAAAATAATTTGAATTTGGGCTTACCTGGTAATCCTCGTTTCTTCCTGTCGACTTCCTGTTCATACTGTTGAATTTCATCATTTGACACATTTTCGAAAGGGTTAGCTGCGTAGCGTGATTTATAGACGACTGCATTATGTTGGTGATCACGCTGAATAATACCTTTAGAAGCGGCCCCGACAACAATCACGTTATCAGCTGTGTGAGATAGGGATCCCTCCTACAAACAAACAAAAAAAATCAAATGGGGTTCAACGTCATACTGTTCTGCTCCGACTGTGCTAATAAAGACGGGCATACGCCATACAGTGTGCTATGAGGGAAATTTTGCCTGGGCAGCGGCACTATGGTCTACTCTTATATCGAATTCCAACAGTCAAAGCATCTTTTACGTGCACGCCAATGTATACATGAGACCTCAGTTTTTCGTCCCATCCCAACGATTAGACAGCTGTCCTTGTCAGGCCCACCCATCCTGCACAAACAAAAGAGATATTTTATTCACTATAAATGAATGGGAGATCAAGGAACAAGCAAAATGCCCATGTCTGACCCTTATCCCTTAAACCTTTGATTATATCATCAACCTATTCAATCACTACATTTCTGGACTGATAGAAATGTGACAGGACTCAATCTCGGCTGCAATGGAGTACTCCCTAAGATTTCTATCCAAGGGAGATAATCATATTGGTCAAATTATCTCCCCTTACACCACAGATTGGAAAAGGTGTAAAGTCAACAATATCAGGTTTTTTTACGTAATTGTGGTATAATTAACATAACCAATACATTGACTATCGAAGATGAAGACACGAGAAAATCGCAAATTGGTCTCTTGTCAACAATTGTAAATATCAATTTCCGTATGAATAGATGTGGTGAAGTCTGTATCATTAAAGGCCACAAACTGTATACCGCAGTGGACACCTAAAGCTGGCCCCAATATCCATTCACTTGATTTGATAAATGTTATTTATTGCTTGTCGTGTCTGTGTTGTCTGCAGGTTTGTCTTTACCGTATTGTTTGTGTGTAGTGTGGTCCTCCTGTACTGCCTATTAATCAACTGTGATCTAGAAGAGGAATAATAGAAAGATTCTGACTACTAACCTTCATTTTCTGAGCTTCATCCCACGAGATGCCTTCTAATAGTTTCGATTGAGGTCCGGCCGATATATGATCTTCATAATAGTCTTTACGTAACTGAAATATACAAATATACACTTGTCAACAACATAACAGTCTTTAAATAACTGGAATATACAAATATATACTTATTATTAGATAATATTCTTTAAATGACTGGAACATATACATTCATTAATATACATAGTATCTATTTAACATTGACGGTAGCGTCACCATCTGTTTTAGAACATAAGTTGTAACACTACAACTGAGGTATCATTTAGCAGGAGTTTCTGTATTTAATTTTTAGTTTCAAAAAATTGTTCAAATCCGTTGGGAATCATGGAAAGTTTCTACTTTGCGTAGTTTTAATTTCTCAACACTGCTCCAGAAACTAAACAGTTATAAACCCATCACTCATTATCTAATCTAGACAGACCCTTAAATTACACAACAGTAGAAACCCAATTTGAACAGTTTTCCAACAATGGTTTGAAACTAAACATTACATACAGAAACTCCTGCTAAAACAACGTAACTAAATGATACCAGAGTTGTAGTATAAGTTGTAAAATTATTATGATAAGAAAAAAAATCCTGAAATGGCTCGAATAAACGTATCTCTGAAATTGAGGGTTATATCATCAGTACCATCTCATACAAGCGTGGAATAGAAACTATAGACAACTCGGCCACCGCCAACCTCCGTGTTATAGTGAAGACCTAGAGTAGTTGATTACAGAATCTTATATAGTTGTATATTTTTCTTCCAAACAGAAGCAAAATTATGTGAATGAACTCACCGCTTTTTGTTTGTTGCGGAATTCTTTAGGGTCTGGACCTTGTGGAGCAAACTGATTGGGGTTATCCAACTTGATTGGTGTACTTGTGGTGGCGTTACTTTCTGGTACCCACTGAAAATAAAAGTACACAAGACTAAGGTCATAGACTGTACAGAAAACATTTCACAGTTACCATAGAAACATATAGAATTAAACAATTAAACTACAATATTGTGAAAGGCAAATCTTTAAAAGGAATATGAGTCCAAGAAACGGTTGAATTTCATTCAGTATTTAAAAAGATATGATCGACTGTAAACTTGGCAATATTCAGCAATCATCAAGCTAATCTGAGTAGAATTTAGCGTGGATTAAGCAGTGGAGAATTAGATATTGTCGGGATAGCAACATTAATTTCATTGATCTTCAGACGGCAGGGTTTGTTGTATATTTGACTCAATTTAGTGTTTTGGGGGTTTTTTTAGGGTTTGTCTTGTATTTGACTCACCTTGGTAATTTTTATAGGGTTTGTTGTATATCTGACTCAATTTGGTGATTTTTTTTTTTAGGTTTTGTTGTGTATTTCACTCCCCTTGGTAATTTTTATAGGGTTTGTTTGTATTTGAATTTGGTGATTTTTTTTTTTTTTGGGGGGGGGGGGTAGGGTTTATTGTGTATTTGACTCACCTTGGTAATTTTTTTAGGGTTTGTTGTGCCAATTTCTTCTATTTCTTGTTTAGCGTAAGTATTAGGTGAGGTTAACCATCCTGCTTTATAAGCTAATTTATTTCTCTCCATAGCACTCTTTACCGGCGACCTAATTATACACAAATTATAATATAGAAATTATATACAAATTATAATATTCAAATTATACACAAATTAAAAAAAAATCAAATTATACACAAACTAAAAATTCAAATTATACACAAACTATAATATTCAAATTATACACATATTTAAAATAAAAAAAATTCAAATTATACACAAATTATAAAATTCAAATTCTATACAAATTATAATATTGAAATGATATACAAATTATAATATTGAAATGATACACAAATTATAATACTCATATTATACACAAATTATAATAACTGTTCTGCTCCTACTGGGCTATTGAAGATGGGTCTATGCCTACTCTTATATTGAATTCCAAATGTCAAGGGATCTATTACCAGGCCTTCTGTCCTGCACCTCTTGCAAGGAGGACCCACGCCGGAAAATCCCGATGAACGTTCACGGCAAATGCAGGGATCGAACTCATGACCTCCAAGTTAGCAAGCCAATGTCTTACTCACAAAACCTTTTGGGGGAAAATCAACTTACATAAATCTACTGTCATCATTTGATGTGAATGAACTAGCTGATGGTGGAATCTCAACGTCATTATTAGAACGATCTCTTTTCTCGTGTCGAACTAATGGAGCTTTAAACGTATAACCTGTTCTATAACCCTGTAATAAAACCAATCGACAATTTAATCAATATTTCCATATATCACGATTTATTTAATGCATCGCATGATTACTGAACACTTAATTCCTAATGCACTTTTCTTGTTGGTCACAAACTATTTTGGAAAAGATGGGTTTTCAATACTGACTTGACCTTATGATACAACGCGCATGCACTTACCGTTCGGCCATCAACCCCACCCCCCCCTTTTTGTATATAAAGTGTACATTTTGTAACTGTATTTTTGTAGAATATTTATCAATGGGAGATGAATTAATATAAGCCTTTGGCTTGTTTTTGAATAAATATTGTTTAAATGCAAATGCCACTCACAGACTTTAAACATACATTATGTAAGATTTACATAAAGATCTGACCATTCTTGCTATAATATGAATGAAGAATAGTTAATTCTGACACTTACAGCATTATCCAGTTGTCTCATCATAGCTTCAAATTCTAATTCTCCTACTTTCCATTTTCTACCACCAACATTAACACCTCCACCACCCTGACTTGCTACTGTAAATGTCTTCCTCCACAAGTCTGAATCTACTTTTATTAAATTATTAATTCCAGCAGGTATAGCACTCATCTGAAGACACAAAATACAACAATTATATTTTCTTTAATACTGTCAGGTAACATTTCAGAAAGAGAGAAATGGGGTTTAACGTCCACTAGATACAATTTAGGTCATTTTGGGACTAACATATGGTTCAATTTTATTTCGATAATTCCCTTGCGCATAGAGATCTTTGGCAGTGGGAGGAAATCGGAGGACCAGGAGAAAACCCACGAGGTTGGACAGGCGACCCTACTCCTTGTCACGTACAACCGCGGAAATCGAAACCACACCAGTTGAACCACACCAGTTGAGTCATCCAAATCCCCTGGAGTGAAAGACCTGTCTCAGATTCAACATGCCATCTAATATGACCAACCCCGATAGAACTGTTAGTCAGCTCTATAATTCTTGTACCTCTTTACGCTCGGTATTTTTTCACATTTTTGAGTCAATAATTCGCTAGTATATAGGGTCTTTAGCAGTGGGAGGAAACTGGATGAGCCGAAGAAAACTCACAAGGTCAGACAGGTGACTCTACTCCTTGTCACATACAAGTGGGGAATCAAAACCATGAAACCATGCCACATGACACAATGAAAGACCTTATGATCTAAAGCGTGCATGAAAATGAACCCCTTCTCATTTATATAATTATCAAGTCAATCAGGGGTTAGGAATTGTGGACAACAGACCCAATTGACAGGGGTAAAGACTATTTATACAACTGTTAGCAAACATAGACAACAGGGTTGATGGACAGGAGTAATATGTATGACTGTTAGCAAATATGGATAACTGGACCGATGGACATAATTCGCTTGTGTGTATGGGTCTTTAGCAGTGGGAGGAAGGAAACCCACAAGGTTGGACAGGCGACCTTACTCCTTGTCACATACAACCGGGGAATCAAAACCATGCCAGTTGACTCAATGACAGACCTTGTGATACAGCCCCCTCCCCCCGCCACACACACAGGAGTAAAGTCTATATGCAACAGGTAGCAAATACTGACGATGGAACCGATGGACAGGGTAAAGACTATATGCAACTGTTAACAAAATAGATTACGAGACCGATGGCCAGACAGGGTATGAGACGATACACAGTGTATAAAACTACTAACCTGTACTGTACAAGCATACATAACATTACGAATATAGTGATAGGCCTCTTCTATTGTATTACCACATGCTACAACTCCATGGTTGTGTAAGAACATCACCTACAAATAAAATAACATTATAAATGAAATGAAATGGGGTTTAACATCCTACTGTTCTGATTCGAACTGGGATAATGAAGACGGGCATACGCCATACAGTGTGCTGTGAGGAACATTTTTCCCAGGCAGCGGCACAATGGCCTATCGAATTCCAAATGCCAAGGGATCTTTTACGTGCAAGAAAATGTATACATGTAACCTTGTTTTTTTCGTCACATCCAAACAACTAGACAGCTGTCCTTGTCAGGCCCTCCGTCCTGCACCACTGTCAAGAGAAAACCGCCGTCGGAAAATACGGATGAACTTTCTCAGCCAATGCAGGGATCGAACACGCGACCTCCAGGCTAGCGATCCAATGTCTTATCCACTTAGCTAGCGTAGCTCCCAAATCAATTAGAAATATTCAAATTAATTAGAAATATTCAAATCAAATTAGTCAGTATTTACCTTATTTGTGGGTCCCAAATTTCTAGCTAATTTATCTCTTTCTTCTTCATCTACTAGTATTCCGTTAAAACCATGGTAACTAATTTCTCCACAAATCATAGCTTCTTGTGATAGCGGCAATAATCCACATTCCATTGCAGATACCTGAATAAATCCATCATTATCTTATTATTCACACACGGTCATTGAGGATATCCAACCTTTCCTTATTCTCCTTAATACACGATAAAGATTAAGCTGGACTAATGATCAACTAGAGAGAGAGAGAGAGAGAGAGAGAGAGAGAGAGAGGGTTCTTAAATAATGACTTTTGTAGTACATAAAATGAGAGAGAAATGTGGTTTAACTCCACTCGACACAAACAAGGTCATTTCGGGACTAACGTATGGTTTAATTTTATTTCAATAATTTCCTCGCTGGTAGGGGTCTTTAGCAGTGGGAGGAAACCGTTGGATCGGAAGAAAACCCACGAGTTTGGACAGGCGAGCCTACTCCTCGTCACACAAGTGGGGAATCGAAACCACACCACAACTCAATGACAGGCCTTCTGATTCAACAGCACATGTTAACCAGCAATCCAATCCCCCATTGGCTATATAAATTCTACTAGCTGCAGCTGGATATGGTGTGTACCTCCTAGATCAGTGGATCAAAATTTTTTACACTCATGGACCAATTTCGCCTTTTTACAAATATTTGAAATGAAATGAAATGAAATGGGGTTTAACGTCCTACTGTTCTGCTCCTATACTGGGCTAATGAAGACGGGCATACGCCATACAGTGTGCTATGAGGGAAATTTTGCCCGGGCAGCGGCACTATCGCCTACTCTTATATCGAATTCCAACTGCCAAGGGATCTTTTACGTGCCTTCCAATGTATACACAGGACCTCGGTTTTTCGTCTCATCCGAAGGACTAGACAGCTGTCCTTGCCAGGCCCTTCGTTCTGCACCACTGACAAGGGGAAACCATGTCGGAAAATCTGGATGAAACAAATATTTGAAGACAATCCCCCCCACCCCCATTCCCACACACACCTGCATTTACTCAGTGTGAATTCCCATATTATGGGATTGAGTGTTTAGGCCGCTTGCCACAACATCTCATTCAAACTTTAATAAACCCACTGCCTTGGATAAATTCTACTTACTGCAACTGCTTCTGGTGTGTGTACATGTATAATACATTTAATATCGGGTCTAGCTTGATGGATGGCTGAATGTAAAATAAATCCTGCTTTATTTATTCCTAACATAGTCGAACCAGCATCTAAAACTTCACCTTGCATATCAACCCGAACTAACGAAGATGCCGATACTTCTGAATACAAAACACCAAACGGGTTGATTAAAAAATGTTCCTGTTCTTGATTTACACGAGCCTGAAAAAAAAAAAAGTTTTAAATTTTCAAACATTTTATGAAGCCGCTAGATTAATTGCAGCCATTTTGAACTCAAATAAGGGTTTGCAGATAGGTCAAGGTCAACCTTGTTTTTTTATGTAAGCCATATAATTTTCCTTAGACGGTGTTTTAACTATATATACATTTTAATTTGAAGATGAACTATTTTGTTAGAAGAATTACATAATTTATGAATTCTAACTGGGATTTGTGTTCAGATTTGTTAATATCATCATGTAAATTGTAATATCGAAAATGTATGACAGAAGAGGATAGATTACTGTATATTTTTTGTCAACACAATAGTTCATTTGAGACCAAGATTTGCTTCTATGGAGTGGGAGAAGGAGAATAAATAAATTAGTTTAACTTTCATTCGACACAAACTAGGTCATTTTGGCACTAACATGTGGTTCAATTTTATCTAGGGATTAACAACAGATGGTTAAATTTTATTTCAATAATTTATTTGTATGTAGGGGTCTTTAGCAGAGGGAGGAAACAGGACCGACAAGTTTCAATAGGAGACCCTACTCCTTGTCATGTACAAGTGTAGATATGAAATCACACCACTTGACTCAATGACAGATCTTATGCTCCATAGTGCACATGTTAACCCATTCGACAACCTACCCCTTTGTTTCTATGGTCTGATGCACAATGTTAGGTTGCAGAGTGGCGTTTCCGTCTGTTCATTAAAGGTGGTTTATTTAGACGTACTACCATGTGTACACTGATGGGCCCTGGTTTTCCGTCATATCCAAACCACAAGACAACTTATTCCTTGTCCGCCCGGCGAGACAGAATTGGGCTTGAAAAATCCTAAGGTTGTTCTAGACCCACTTTAGGATTTGAAAGTGGGATATTCAAGCCGAGAGACTAGTCACCCTAGCCGCCTTTTGTTCGCATAGATGACAAACATGTGGCATAATTTAGACCATTGGCCCATCTATCCACAATATTACATTCTGTATAATTTGACTACTTTTTCTATTCAACTTGGGTATCAACTCCTGTGTTTGTTTGTAAAGGTGACAAACTTACATTCCCCTGCCAGTCGCGATGTTGCCAGTCCATCTATTTTACTGGACGATTTTTTCCATTCAACTATGGAATCGAATTCATGTTTTTGTTTGCAAAGTTGACAAAACTTCTGTTCCCGCCAGCTATTTTATTTGACAGTAAAATACATACACTTATATGGTTATATATTCCCGACGTCCAGCCGTGCATATCAATCAATCTGTATAAACTAGCTAGTTTACATCGTAAAACTTTCTCTGGTTTACTGTAGCCCATCGATTCCACACCACGAATGTCATTAATAGGAATGATTGGGCCTGAAAAATATAAAATACATAAATTAATTAAAAGCTCTCAATGTATGTCAGTATGGACAGGCCTGAAAAATATAAAATAAATAAATAAATCAAAAAGTCCATAAAAGGTTGAGAAAGAGAGAGAAATGGGGTTTAACGTCCACTCGACACAAACTAGGTCATTTCGCGACTAACATATGGTTTAATTTTATTACAAGAATTCGCTTGCACGTCTTTAGCAGTGGGAGGAAACCGGAGGAGCCGGAGAAAACCAACGAGGTTGGACAGGCGACCCTACTCCTTGCCACGTACAACCGGGGATTGGAAACCACGCCAGTTGACTCAATGACAGGCTTTATGATACAGCGCGCGCGTGCGAACCATTCAGCCATCCAACCCCCCCATAAAAGATTAGAGAAAGAATACAATCAAAGTGTTAGCTAGCATCAGGACCAAGAAAGGGTCGATACTCGACTGCTGAGTTTAAATTCATTACTTCAAAATCTTAGGTGCCTTATGTATACATTGTGTGATAATTGCATCTGACAATGTCTGTGACAGGCGCCTTATATCCAGGTTTGTATGTATACTTGACAAAGTCTGTGACAGGCGCCTACCTGAAAAATGTGTTCTAAAATTTTAAAGCTATTGAATTGAAAATGACACAACTAGTTAGGAAATGTAATAAACAAGAGAAAACTAACATTAAAAAAAATAAAAACAAAAAAACTGTTGCTAGGGTAACACATTTATTTGGAAAAAGTATGAAAAATGTTGGTACACCACATCTCTGGCACTAATAAAGATAAAGGTCCCATTTTTGGACTGCTTATTCTTTATTAATAACCTTAAAATCAGACAGAGTTTTTTCTATAATTTTCATAGTTTCTTGGAAAATGGTGTTTAAAACATTTGCCTCACCACAATATTTTGTCTTTTGAAAAATATTTCGATAACTCTGTCTGGTCCACGGTTAGATATTTGTTTATATACATGTATCCTGCAAATTTGGTGACGATATCTTAATTAGTTACAAAGATATAGTGTACCTACACTTTTCATAATTTTTCCCCAAAAATGAGTTACCCTGGCAACAACATTTTTTTTTTAACGTTACTTTTCCCTTTATTACATTTCCTAACTTCTTGTACTATTTTCAATTCAATAGCTTTAACATTTCAGAACAAAAATTTTTGGGTAGACTCCCCCCCCTTAATGAAAGCGATAACTTTATTGTACAAACATACCTTTAGCGAATCCCCTGCTGCCGCTTCCACCACCAAGTTTACCTCCTGGTAACAAGAGTTCCGATATCTGTTGTAGAGCTATCAAACTAGCGGGATGTGGTCCGGTCAATATCTGTTCTTCTACAATACGTTCTAACTCTTCACGAAAAGCGTCACTATCTAGGACAACCTTCACACGACTACGACTATCCATCTGTTTTAAATCTTCTTTCACCTCTGCTGGTCGTCGCATCTGTCGTTGATACTCAGGGTCATCAGGATCTAGAAAATACAAAATCATTTGTTTAGGTTGATAAAACAGTTTTATTTGTATTGAAACCAGTAAGTGAATTAGTAAAAAAAAAATAAGATTTGCTAGGTCATTTTAGGACTAACATATATGGTTTAATTTTATTTCATTAATTCACTTGCACGGATGGGTCTTTAGCAGTAAATCAGAGGACCTGTAGAAAACCTAAACGAGGTTGGATAGGCAATCCTACTCCTTGTCGCATATAATGAGGAATTGAAACCACGCCACTTGACTCAATGACAAGACCTTATGATCTAAACCCTTTGGCCAACCACCCCCAGTATCTATTATGTTTGTCAATAATATTTATCAGGAAGTGTGAACTTGATAAATGAGCCTATGCCACATTTCTGAATTTATTTCCTGTAACTAGGGAAAAAGTGTGGTGTTTAGGGGTCTTAAGCTGTGGGAGGAACCCAGAGGACAGAGAAATCCTCCAAATCGGCACAGGTGATCCTATTCCTTGTCATGTACATGTACAGGCAGGGGAATAGAAAACACGCCACTCGACTTAATGACAGATATTATGATCCAATGCACACGCTCTAAACCATTCGGCCACCCAACCCCTCATCTTGAACAGAATAAATGAGATAAAATGATCATGAAAGAATAAAAAGTATTGCCACAACCCTAAAACCAGTAGGCATCTGGGATCTTAGCTGATTATAACTGGCTGTAGCCGTTTGATGTTGGAAAAAAGCCGATTGATAAAATAACGAATCAGCCAATATGATATCATTAATCAATCTACTATAAGCTTACTGTTACTAAACTGACAAATCTGGAGCTAGCTTGGACCAGGCTTCGACATCACTCTAGAAAATTGTTACACCTTTTTCGTACAGTGTTTCTGCACCTACTTTGTGAACTGTCAAGGATTCTTTTATATGCATGCCAATGTGTACAAATAGACAGTGTTCCTGTCCCACTGATAATGGACAAGGGAGAGAGAGAAAGTGAGAGAGAATGAGTGAGTTTAGTCATTTCGCGACTAACACATGGTTCAATTTTATTTCAATAATTCGCTTGCACGTAAGGGTCTTTAGCAGTGGGAGGAAATCGGAGGACCTTGAGAAAACCCATGAGGTTAGACAGGCGACCCTACTCTTTGTCACATACAACCAGGGAATCGAAACTATGCCAGTTGACACAATGACACAAACTAACCATTCAGCCATCCAACTCCCCCAATGTCAATGGGCAAGGTCAACAACGCTTTAATACATGTATAATACAGTAACTGTTTTAAGGATAAAATTGAGTAAATAAAATATTTAATGTAATTAACCTTGAGACTATAAATAATATTTACTAAGATAATAAACACTTAAGATTGATATAAAAATTTAAACGATTTAACCATCTGTCAATATTTACTCAACACCGTGTCCTCATAATACACTAACTGTTTTAAATTCTCTATCTATTTATATTAATTAACCGGCCTGCACTGTTAGCATAACTACTCCAGCTAACTGGCATTTCTCCAACTCCGTTCAGACAAAACTATTTATAAGGTAAGCCAGACAGAATTCCTTTAATTGACATCAAGTACATGCAACTATGGATTGAATAGTATCTTCAATATTGTCTTCAAGGCAAAGTCAACTAAATGAAATGGAGTTTAATGTCCCACTTTTCTGCACTAACTGGACTAATGATGAATAATTAAAGACACCTTACATGTATGTATATGTAAGAGATAAATCTGCCTATTGCAGGTCTTCTTTTGGCTTCAAAAGTTATTTTATTCAGACATTTATTCACATGACAAGCCCATTTGGTCAACCCTCTAGACCATCGGATGGCAGAGATTAAAATGGATTAAAAGACAGTTGCCATTTAATGATTTAATTTAAAATAGTGAAGCAAGGCTAAATCTTGAATAACAAGTAGCGTTGTTATGATAATAAACAATCTATGCCACATCTTGTCAAAACTTCAAATGGTGATAACTTCGCTCAGAATAAAGTAATTCGAATGAAAATTTCAATATTTCATTTTGCATTTTCTATTTTTGAACTATTATAGCAAGAAGGGCCAGCTCTTTAACTAAATCTTACATAATGCATCTTTAATTTTATCGGCCAACGCAGTGATCGAACATGGGACCCCCAGGTTAGCGAGCATACGTCTTACTCACTGAGCCACCATGGCTCCTATTAAGAAAGCATTTACATGTAGTATTATGAATGAGAAATATAATGTACAACATACTGTTGATGTACAGACCAAGGCTTACACTTCAAATATTGGCAAACATCTGACAAGAATCTAATCAAGTTTACACGAATGTCTTCCATCAACAATCCATTGTATACAGTCAAAACAATAAGAAGCAACTATCTCATTCTTCTATCAGTGTTTTTATATATACTTTTTAATTCACAAATAAAAGTGGAGAGAAAAAGTAAACTGGTTTATGGACTTTTTTTACCAAATTTGGCATTTCACCTTAAAGATACATTATGTAAGAATTAGATAAAGAGTTGACCTTTCTTGCTATAATAGTTCAAAACAGATAATGTAAAATGAATATATTGAAAATTCCATTCAAGCTACTTTATTCTGAGCCAAGTTATCAATGCCCAAGATGTGGGCATTGATTGTTTATTATAGTAACCATGTTAGCCTGGCTTCTCCATGTTTAAATTAAATCATTAAATGACTGAATCATACTAATCTAGTTAAAATTTCGAGCATCCAATGTCATCGAGAGTTGATTATGGTCTTATCAAGTTGATAAATGTCTAATAATTTAGATAACATTTAAAGCCTGAAGAAAGACCTATAATAGGTAAATTTAGCTCTTGAATAATGTATCTTTAATGAAATGAATCAAAATGGGGCTTAACGTCATACATCTCTGCACCCCTAGGCTAACTAAGACAGACATATATCATGTTGTGTGCTATTACTAAGTATATATTGTCAATTGTCACAAATCAAAGTTCAATGACTGGCAACACCCAGTAGTTCAAATCTAAACAAAGCTATGGTAATTGGTTGCATAAAATAGGAGAATAAAAGACTGTTGACTGGCAACCCAGTTTTGAACTCAAAACAAAGTCATGTCACTTGGCTGCAAAATGCAGGAGAGTTAGATGACTGGCAACCCTGTATTTGACTTCTAAACGAAGTTACCATGTAGGAAATTGGTAGAGGGGCTGTTCATTGTCTGGCAACCCTATAGTTGACCCCTAAACAAAGCTATAAATAGCTACAATAACCAATCAAGTACAAAATGTAATAGAAGGGATATTTGTTGACTGGCAACTTTATATTTGATCACTAAATAAAGATATATTAATAGAGAAGATTGTTTGTTGCCTGGCAACCCTGTATTTGACCTCTAAATAAAGACATATTAATAGAGAAAATGTTTGTTGAATGGCAACCCTGTATTTGACCTCTAAATAAAGCTACAATGTAGGATTACTGGGAATTAGTAGAGAGGATATTTGTTGATTGTACATGTATTTAACCTCTAAATAAAGCTATGTTAATTGGCTATAATAAGTAGGGAAGTAATAGAGAATTACTGGTAGAGAAATGTTAATTACACAGGACTTCAAACAGACTACTTGACATAATGATATGACATGTAACTCAAGTACAACAAAATCCTATACCAGTACAACAGAATCCTATACCAGTCCACAACTTTCTAATCAAAGAGGAGTAACCTTGTACTATTAAAGAGTGTTAGATCATAGATCATGGTTAGGTAAAATACATGTGTTACATACATGTATTTATAGTGCCGGAGGGAATGAAATGATTGAATGATATTTAATGATATTTATCAACTTTCACATAAAATTAAATTGGGTTTTAAGGCTAAGCTGCATTATTTTAGAATTTTTATAGTGTTGTGTTTATACATGTACATGTGTATTCAACAAAATGTTTAATTAATTTGATAGCAGTGGTTCCATGAAAAAAACACAACACAATTTATATGGAAACAATCACTGGTCTATACAAATATAGCACAACGTTTCAACAAGTATTCTTTTATCGTTATCAAGTACAAATGATAACAATAAGAAAATACTTGTCGAAACGTCATGCTGTATGTGTATAAACATGCTGTATGTGTATAAACATGCTGTATGTGTATAAACCAGTGATTGTTTTCCATATAAAATGTGTTGTGTTTTATAATGTGCTCAATCACTAAATGCTGCTCGAGGATTACATGGTTCCATGAAGTTTTATGACACAGAGAGAGAAATTGGTTTAACGTCCACTCAACACAAACTAGGTAACCTTGGGACTAACATAGTTTATGGTTTAATTTTATTTCAATAATTCACTAGCGCGTAGGGATCTTTTAGCAGTACTCAAAATATAGTATTTAACATGTAATTGAGAAAACCAAATCAAAATATCAATGGTGCTCGTCCCCAAAATGTTGTGAAACTTTCAATTCATCAAATCTTTGTAAATACTGATCAGAATTGAACCATTTTTGAACTGATATTCCTTTTAAGAAATTCAACACTCGAAATATTGTAGTTTGTAAGAGATTAATAATTCCCTCAACTGACTGTCAGTGGCTTTAACTTAACAACAGTAGTTTCAGTGGTTTTAAAGTGACAAAACAGTGAGTCACCGTAAGTTTTGTCATAAAGTCAAGTGATGATATCTCGACTATTGCGTAATTTCAAGAACTCAAATCTCTTCACACTTATAATTTACGAGTTTTGTTACAATGTAAATATAAAATAGAGAAGAAAGATATAATGTTTTACTCACCTATTGAGTCAATATATTTGCCAGTCGGGCTGGACGGCCCATTAACCTGACTACTCATACCTCAATCCTTTTATCCCACACTTGTGAACACCCTGAAATATACAAATATTATAATTACATACCACACTTCTAATATACAAATATTATAATTTTATTCCACACTTCTAATATACAAATATTATAATTGTATTCCACACTTCTGATATACAAATATTATAATTATATACCACACTTCTGATATACAAATATCATAATTATATACCACACTTCTGATATACAAATATTATAATTGTATACCACACTTCTAACATACAAATATTATAATTATATACCACACTTCTGATATACAAATATTATAATTGTATACCACACTTCTAACATACAAATATTATAATTATATATCACACTTCTGACATACAAATATTATAATTGTATACCACACTTCTAACATACAAATATTATAATTATATATCACACTTCTGACATACAAATATTATAATTATATACATGTACCACACTTCAGATATACAAATATTATAATTGTATACCACACTTCTAACATACAAATATTATAATTATATACCACACTTCTGATATACAAATATTATAATTGTATACCACGCTTCTAACATACAAATATTATAATTATATACCACACTTCTGATATACAAATATTATAATCATATACATGTACCACACTTCTGATATACAAATATTATAATTACATCCTACACTTTTAAATACAAATATTATAATTAAATATCAAAGGTTGGGGACAAAATCATCCAAAATTTAAGGGGTTGAGATGAGACAATAACACCCCCCTCCCTCCCCTTACGTTATCTCTCTGCAAGTTTTTGTGAGAGCAGTATTCCTCCACCCCACCCCCAGGGACGGATGGACAGAAAGACAGACAAAGCACTCATTTCAAAGAACTTAAGGGGGTGACCCTCTCCCTGACCGGTTTGGCCATTTGTTGTTAGCGATTCATCCCTTAATCATATTAATCTATGTACATGTATGCTGCCCTTTATCCCCATCATATAAATTTACCTGTACATGGTCATTGTATTCTGCCCTTTATCCCTATCATAAAAATCTACCTGTACATTGGCATTGTATTCTGCGCTTAATCCCTGTCATATAAATCTACCTGTACATTGTCATTGTATGCTGCCCTTAATCCCTATCATATAAATCTACTCGTCAGTAAATTTTTTAAATCCTGTATTTATTTGTAAGTAAATTTCCATCAATGATTAAGAGCCCTATTATCATGTACTGCACTGTAATAACCTGACGAAGTTGCTTGATTTACACACCCGATAAAATATCCTGTTTGTTTACTTCAAACATTAGACTTGAATCCATCTATTAAACTTGACATCCACTGGTGTGAACTATCTACAAGGCTTACATACTGACATTTGTCTCAGGTATAAACCAATTAACCTGTGGTGATACGAACGTTTCAACTGGACAAAAAAAATATCTAAATTAATGAGACATTGTGCACTTTCTATGCAGAGATGCATTCTTTAAATACTGACCTAATCCTTTATAAAACAATGTAATTAAACCCAAACAATAAATTATCTTCTTGTTACATACTTAAAAAATATATCAATTCATGCAAAAATGCCCTATCTCTCATTCTCAAGCATATCTTTCAACTAGTTCTTGGCATATCTTTCAACTAGTTCATTTTATGTCTTTCGTTAAAAAAAAATATTGGCAATGTTTTAAAAGATGGACATTATGTGCAAATTCTTAAATTTTGTATTCAATTAATTCTTAGTTATAAAATATAGATGAATATATATTTCAAACGCTGTATATACATGTACTTGAAGCCAGATTATAGATTGTGTATCCTGCTTCGATGAAAATAAGGGAGGGATACTGAAATAACCTTTGTTCGTCCTTGCATCTTAGTTTCCATGCATTTCTCGGATCATTTTAATTAGAAATTGTTGATTCTAGTCTAATTTAATTATTGTTTTTGGATCCATGTAAACAAACTGGGTTTTGGTATATGTATATGAATTGTCATCTAGATTGACTGTCATGATTTTATTATATTTTAAGAGAGAGAGAAATGGGGTTTAACGTCCACTTGACAAAAACTAGGTCATTTTGGGACTAACAAATGGTTCAATCTTATTTCAATAATTTGCTTGTGCGTAAGTGTCTTTAGCAGTGGGAGGAAACCGGAGGATGCAGGGAAAACGCACGAGGTTGGACAGGCCACCCTACTCCTTGTCACGTACAACCGGGGAATCCAAACCATGCCAGTTGACTCAATGACAGACCTTATGATACAACAAGCACATGTTAACCATTGCCCCCCCCCCCCCACCTGCATTATTTTATATCTTAAAGAAACTACATACTTTAGCATTTTCACATATACTTTTTTTCTTTGGCGTGCACATGAAAGATCACTCGGCAGTAGGAATTCAAAATAAGAGTAGGCCATTGTGCTGCTGCCTGGGCAAAATTTTCCCTCACAGCACACTGACACAGCATGGTCTATGCCCATCTTTATTAACCCAGTTGGTGCCAGAAAGTAGGAAGTTAATCCACATTTTTATTCCATTTCTTAAAAAAAAATATTTTAGTTCTAAATAATAACTAAAAACACAGAACTTAAAATATAGTAAAGTACTACCCTACCACAAAACTTATTATTAAAATTCCTCCTGATAACAAAATTCCAGTGCCAACATTCCGATTCAGAGAAATATATTATTATTTTAGAGTAAATCTATCTCTGTGAGCCATGCTTCCTTCCATAATAGAATAAAATATTGTTAAATTGAGGTCACTAGAAGACACACCCGTTCATGATATCTCCATAACAATGCTTTTGTTGTTTCACGGTCCTGTTGTAACATATTTAAATAAATTATCAAGTCGAGTATCGGCCGAATGCTTTGGCAAAGCGGACACACTAGGCGAATATATCAAACATGTTTGATTCGGGCGACAGTGGACACACTAGGCAAATTTTGACACTGACTGATTCGGTCAAATGATTCAGCTAGTGTACTGTGTCCACTGCTAAAATAAACCACACTATAAAATCCTAGGGAACTGTACATGTATATGTTTCGTGGGGGTTTATAATAACCAGTATACCACATGTTAAGATAGTAATGTATAATGTATGTAAATTTATTATGTAAAGATTATAGATAATATATATCACATCCTTTTTTATACAATCTGATTAATACTACATGTTATTCTCGTTTCGTTCTGGTGAACAGTTCAGATCAAGATAACGAGGAGAAATCAACCAAAAAATAAAACGGAATAAAATTTGGTTAGAATTGGGAATACATGTACTTGAACACATGAAATGTTCCTGTACATGTAGTATCCTACCAATTGTAACAAAAGTTTAAAAGATTGTATTTAATTAGATACATTTGTACCACCCCCACTCTTGGTGTTCAATACATTTACATGAATTCTAACACTATACAGGACAGCCCAACCAATGTCACTTGGCTTTATGGGGCACCCACAATGATACTGATATGGGCACATTGCTCGTTGGCTTCATATTGCGTCCAATGAAAAGGGGTCAGCCTTGCTCACCCCCCCACCCCCCAAAACACCACAAGCTATGGGCCTGTACTTTAAGTTAAATCAGTATCATTGCCTAACCGCAAACTATGGGCCTGTACTTAAAGTTAAATCTGTATCAAATTGTGGTATTTGAAATACATCTGGATGAGTTATTAAATAAACTCACAGCATGATATACAAACAATAGTATAATAGATAGACTATATGATAATATTTACCTACACTGAGTATATAATACCTATAAATATTATCATAGTCTCATATTATACTCTAAATATACAATGTATCTATATAATATTAAATAACACCATATTACATAGAGAAAGTTTAATGTCCACTTGCACATTGTGGTTTTTAGCTGTGGGAGAAAAACGGAGGACTCAAACAAAACCATTCAATGACAGACATTATCATCTCACGTGCACCAGTTCAAACAATTTGTCCACCCCCCACCCCCACAGACAGACTGTCTATATCAATATCATGGTATATGTAATATACCATACCATAATAATATAACATGTTCTATATTATATAATATGCCATATTAGTTATTACATAGACATAATAATAATAGTACAACAATGTATATCTATATTACATGTATATTATAGCATACACAGACATAATAATTATACATGTAGTATACAATGTCTGTATATTATTTATATGTACCTATATGATCAAACTTTTATCAATGAATATTGTTAATACATGTATATACATTATGGGAATTTGTTCTATCTACTGCCAGGTCAAGGTGGTTGATGTGTAGGGCTCTAGCCTCTCAACCAGAATGTCTCTGGCCTGATCCCTGTGCGGAACAAAAGAACGACCTGGATTTTTCAAGCCATGTTCTGATGAGGAATGAGTACATGTACATGAACCTAGTCTTTTGAATGAGCAAAAAAAAGCTAGATATACATGTATGTACAATGTGCATCAACAACTACCCTTGGCAGTTTCAATTTGAAGAGAAGGAAGAAAGGCCACTGCCCTGTCAACAGGCCTCAGGCAGTTAAGCTACAGACTACAGTACATGTAGAATGTACATGTACACTTAAATAATAATCCAAAAATATCTGCAAATAAATTTTACAAAAGTTATTTTCTCAGAACATGTCAACAATGGAAAATTTGGGATTTAATTTTCTTCAAATAAAATATTGCTCAATTTGATTTATCTTACTTGAAAGCTTTTAATTGTGGATTTTAAAAAGTTGAAAGAAATTTAATTTCCTTTTTACTTTGTATAAGGGATGTAGCATGTATAATCATCGTCATGGCGCGACAATTGTGTGACTTTCATAAACGTATTGTATCTTGCAATAAAATGAAATAATAAATGAGTTGAATGTCCTACATGTAGATTTTCTGTATAAACCTGGCTAGTGAAGACCTGTATCATATTCTCAGGTGTTTGACTGACAGTTTAGACTATTCAAATTACCTTCAAATAAACTTACAACATTAAAATTGAAAACTTCAAATCAAC